ATGCGATCTTCTGTTTTTGGAAAGAGACTATCCAGTAAAAGTGATAATGTGGTAGTTTTCCATTTGCTTTCCACATCGCAGTACAACAGCCGTTCAAACCACTCTGGTCACGCCTGTTGCTATAAGAACTTGAACCATCTCGAGCATCATTTGCTCTGTGCTTCAAGTCGCTGCTGATGACGCTGCTTCCGGCATCAGTTTTTGGTGTCTCTCTTCGTCTGATGCCTACCCTTTGACCTGTCCAGCAAGGGAGGCCCTGCCAGTAGCTACGCTACCGCTGGTATAGCTCTCAGGGTCCTTGGCATACTCAAACCCCCTCACCACGATTAGGTAGAGACACCAACGAGGGGGAAGACTACTCTTTATTTTCTAAAAATGAAGGAAGTAGGCTAAAAACACACAATGCAGTATAAAAGTTCGAAATCCGATATCGATGTCTCAGTCGATATATACTGAACGAATCATCTGAGAAAACCTTTGATCAGGAAAAACTTTATTAATCAAATATATGAAAGATATATTTATCTTTGTCCTTCAGCACCGTGCTAATACATAAGGAGAAATGGAGATAAATCTTCACCAATTTTTACCCAGGCACCAAGAGGAGGCGAGTATTCGGTTTCGCGGTCTGTTCCTTTTACTCCCGGGGAAAGGGGCCCGATGCTGAATGTACAGTAGGCTAGTTTGAATGAAGTAGCGTACGGTAGCAAGATATTGGGGAAATGCCGGTGATTCAAATTTTGAACTTCTCCGGATCCAGTACACACACACACAAAATGATATTTCAGAGTTTCGTAAAGTATGTTCGATACCGAGGTGTGAGTCATGTTGATTAATGCTGCCACTAGAGGAGAAATCTGATCCATCTCATATATTTTCTCGGTTTAGTATTCAGTTCAGTTCAGTTCAGTATTGAGGGGGTGAGTTTCCCCATGCACCGCGACTAATAGTCTATTGTACGTCCCCCTTAAATTTCTACTGTCTCCATACCCTACCGGTACTGGTGCTCGCTATCGTTCCCTTTCTGCCAGCGAGGTTTCGGCCTTCTACTGGCAGTGGTATCTAATAGCTAGTCCCTTTCTGTCAGTGAGGTCGTCCCTCCTCTGGCAGTGGTACCTAAGCTCCCCCATCTACCGGAGGCATTGGAAACTACTTGGGCGGGAAATTGCCTAAATTTAGCTCAGAGGTCTCATAGAGACATGAGGTTCTTTTACGTGCCGTAAATCTACGACACGGGACGCACGGCTTAAAGTCCCTCCCGGAGGACTTGTTCCCTGAATTTTTCCGCCCTTAAAAATTCAACGACCTCCGCCGGGTTTGAACCCGCGTACCTTGAGTCATGAGGTGGGAACGTTACCCCTAGACTACGGAGGCCGCTTTCGGTTTAGTAACTGATTGAATTAATGGTTGAGCCTATTGTCGTTGTTTTTTTAAATGGTTAATTATTTCGCTCCAACTTAATGAATGGTCACAAACGTGTACTTTCGAATTTGTATTGATTATTTATGTCTGTGTTATTTAGGCGCCGTATCAGTGGAATGGATAACACTTGTTATTTTGTCAAATTCCTCTAGATTGTCGAAACTCTAAATTTGTTTTGGGCCTACTAGGTGGAACCTAGAGCACCAGTGACTTGCGGAAGAAATATATCTTCGTCTCTAAACATGATACTGTTCACACGGATCAACCACTGACGAAAATAATACAAGTGTAAAATCTTTGCAGAGTCTCACGCGTTGCGTCATACCGAATAAAATTAAAAACTGATATTCCCATTACTTCGACCATGAAAGAGGCACTGAGTCGTCCGAAACATTGGGGCCGTTTAACCTTCCTACTGCAACAACATTAGACTCTTAGACTCTGCAAGGAATGTCGATAAAATCCTTCTTATGATGTTGAAAGTTTAAAGGATGTATTATACATAGCTAATGCTTCCCAAGCAACCAATATGTCCACATAACTTAATTTACACGTTAACGTACACATACACGGTGTGTCCAGGATCCGGTAGGACTAGTTTCTTTTAATTTTCCCTGCAATGCTATCTGTTGATGAGTTGTGGCGAAGATTCTTGAAGTTTCAGGTGTGGCTGTCTATACTTTGAAAGCGCGAGCTTCGCTGCATCATGTGTTCTGACCTTGAATGTAACAGTACTGTTCTGACGCTCGTCGGAAAATGGCGGTTGAACAGATAGCCAACATCAAATTTTGTTTGAAGTTAGGCAAAACAGCCGGAGAAGCGTATGAAATGATGAAAAGTGTGTATGGTAGTGGTTGTTTGAGTCGCTCGAACATCTTTCGATGGTCTGCTGTATTTCGTGACGGCAGGGGGCGGGACACTGAAGACGCTCCACGTGCATCAAAGCCGAGAACAAGTCGCACTGAAGAAAATGTGAAAAAATTGATCGAAATCCTCGCATCAGACAGATGTGTTTCTGCAAGACTCATCGAGGAGCTTTTGGGAATACCAAAAAGTACTGTGCATCAAATTTTGACCGAGGATTTGAACAAACGGAAGGTCTGTGCGCGAATTTTACCGCACGCGCTGTCAGGCGTTGAAAAACATGCCAGAGTGGAACACTGCAAAGACTTGTGACGGTCGGCCCAAAGTGATATAAAATTTACAAAATCGATTGTTACTGGTGACGAGACGTGATGTTTTCAACATGAGCCTCTGACAAAGCGGCAGAGTGCAGCGTGGTTGAGCACAAAGAAGCCAGCCGAAACCAAAGAAAGTGCAAAAGCATGCAAAAGAGTCGAGTAAAGACACTGCTAACCGTTTACTTCGATTCAAAAGGAATCATGCACAAGGAATTTCTGCCAGAAGATCAAACAGTGAATTCTGAATATTATCTCGGATCCTCAATTGTCTGTGGGCGACAATTCTTCGAATTCGACCTGAATATTGAGAGCAAGTTTCCTAGTCGCTCCTCCAAGACAATGCCCCACCCCACAAATCGAAGATCATACGCGATTTTTTGGCCACAAGAGAGATCACAGTCCTTGATCTTCCTGCGTATACGCCAGATTTGGCTCCAGCATATTTCTGGTTGTTCCCAAAACTTAAGTTGGCGATGAAAAGAGACCGTCACGACACCATCCAGGACATACAAAGGGAATGTACCGCCGTTTTAAATGCGATTCCACAAAAGGAGTACAGTGACTGTTTTCAAAAACTTTTCAATTGATTCCAGCTATGTATTGATTCAGAAGGAGACTATTTTGAATAGAAAGTGTGAAATTTTGAAAATAATTCACGTCTTGTATTTTTAATGAACACAGTCCTACCAGAACCTGGACGCACTGTGTAGTTTACTTACTGTACCGGATTTGGAGCATTCACGGCGAGTAAATACGCGACATGTGGGAACTACCGACCAGCCCCGTCAGTGTTGAGCTAAAATATGTTTCAGAGCCGAAGATCTCTCAAATTGTGGTTATTCGATCAACATTGACACGGTTAACCGCCCGAGATGATTTCAGCACAGATTATTTACTGTGTTACTAATCTAATTCATAAAGCGGCCTCCGTAGTCTAGAGGTAACGTTCCCACCTCATGACTCGTGGTACGCGGGTTCAAACCCGGCGGAGGTCGTCGAATTTTTAAGGGTGGGAAAATTCAGGGAACAAGTCCTCCGGGAGGGACGTTAAGCCGTGTGTCCCGTGTCGTAGCTTTACGGGACGCAAAAGAACCTCATATCTTTAAAGGAGGTCACTGAGCCAAATTCAAGGATGTTTCCCGCCCAACAATATTCCCTAACGCCTCTGATAGATGGCGGAAGTATTATAGACAGCACCAAGCAAGTGGAGGCCGAACTCTCTTGCTGGGCGGGACTGATGGTACGCACCACTATCGGCAGGGTATAGAGACCGGTAGAATATCATAGAGGGAAGCACAATGGACCAATACTGGTCTAAGTGCATGGGGAAACCCACCCTCTCCAATAACTAACTAACTAACTAATCTAATTCATATACAACAGCTTAGTTCAGTGACTATAAAAAGATCATCAATGCGAAAGAGAGTTAAACACTTGTGGGAAATGCTGTTGTTGGGAATCGTGGACTCAGCGCGACGCAATAATACACGCGTTGTCAGTAACGTTGCGCCGCGGTAACGTAACAGCACAGGAGCCGCTGCTGTTGCTAGGGGCAACAGGCCCGTAAACACTTCCCGCTGTGACGTAATAGTGGGCGCCGACGCTGCTAGGGCAACAGGGAACAGTATAAGAAGCCAGCTGAGGACTGAGAGTGAACAGGCGACGAAAAGGGAAGTCTCAAATATGAGACAGCAAAATATGGTCGCAAGTCCCAACGGACTAGGACCCGAGAAACACTGCGCTGGCAAGGGCCAGCAGCATATATAAAAGACAGACCCATCCTCTCGTCAGAGAGGGCGCCCCACAGAAACAAGACCGTAACAGTCGAGGAGAAATAAATATCTGGTCATGGTCCCCAGGAGGGTGCTCGATACCAAGACTTACTGACTGACTGGTCGTCAGTCGCAATATGGCTTTGACTTTGACTTTGAGAGTGAACAGTGTGTGTTGTGCCGAAACAGAGAGCCAGTGTGCAGTAGACGCCAGTAGAAGCCAGACAGAAGACAGTGGAAGCCAGCACGGAGAGTTCGATTTGTTCAGCATTTTGAGTTATAGTTACCTGAATTTCAGTTACGGCGTTGCGTAGTAAAGTGACGTCGCAAGAATACACTCCTCGAAGTCTTGTTACACGACAGCTAGTAAACATCTGGAATGGTAGGCCTTTAGGAGAAATAAACAAAGAAACATAATTCAGAGTTTGTCCGTAAATTTAATATCGCCCGCGGTGTGATGAAAATGTTAGGAACCGAAATAGGTCTAACGGATATCGAGCTTTCATTACGTTTGGCTGAGTATATATGCTGCCCTCTAGAAATGTAATGACAATTCTATGTGGTGAAAGTTTGAACTACAACATATTCTTTGCGCGGCAGCGTAACACGAGCCATCTACCGTGGATATCTTAAATAGTCAGCACATCTAACCGTTTGTAACAGTGTGGTGTTGTTGAAATATGGCTGCTGTTGTAAGGTTAAAACGTCGTGCCGATGAGCAACCTCTTGAAGGATTGGTGCTTACTTGTAAGAAGAGAAAGTCAGAAGATGATGAAATTCAAATCACACCAGTGTTTAAGTTTGCGGGGACCGTAAAAAATCGGGTAAATAAATACTTTTTATCTACCTACGTGCCCAAGAGTAAAATAATGTAAACAAATTTTTCCACGATAAAGGATTACGATATGAAGGCGTTTATAGCGAGTTCCTTGCTTTATGACCACAGAATTGCCGTTTTAAGTACTGATATCCATTTGACAGGTTTTATGGTTGTCATAGTCATTCTGAACGTTGTGGCAATTATAGAAATGCCGCCTCTGCCAGGACTCGAACTCACGATATGCAGTGCGTAGCCTTGAATTTCAGTGGCAGCTATCATGCATCCTCACTGGGGATGTTTGTGGAACATTTTAATAACGTCTAAAATACATATAAACTCCTACAATACAGAAGACGAGACTTGTTTGTTTTTGGTATGGTAATCAAACCTAAATTTAGTGACAGTCTGGATAATGTTGGGTAAGGTAGGATGATTTGTGAACTGCTCATGGAATATCATTGATGAACACATCAGTTACTTTTTTACTGGAGGAGAAATTACAATTCTGCAAAGCTTAACAAGTAGCTTATGTAGTAGGAGGAATGTTGTCAACAGTGGGGGATCTGTATTAGGTCTGAATTTCATTCTTTATTACTGTGATACATAATTCTTAACACAGTACTTGTTTTTATAGTCTTTTGGTGTGTATGTTTTATGATACACTGCATGCTCTGTCTTGTGAGCTCCATATGTTGAAGTGAATGTTAAAACCATCACAAAAACTAAAACATAGTCTGGACTAGTATGCAAATAATTTTCATGCATGGCTGTAACATAACATTTCTTCTTTAGGGAAAACATTTTCAACTTACTCATTAAGAACAGAATTTATTCAAAATTAAAATAGTATAATGGTAAGAGGAATACAATGTATATTTTATTTTTTAATTTCATGGCAATTATGCATTTTCAGGAAGATGTGGCATCACATATTGGTAAAATCCTGACACAAAATAGAAATAAACGTGGAAGGAGAAACAAACCTGATGTGACTGGAAAGTTGCGAAGAGAAATGAGACATCTGGCACAAGAAAACAGACTTAAGGTTAATGATATACAGTGTTTATTAGTATAATATTAAATTATTTTAAGGATAATTGATGGTCCATATTAAAAGGAATTCTGAGCATTAACTCGTTGCCTATTTCTCTACTGCATAGATATACTATAGTCCTACAGATGTATTATTGCTATCAGCATCGGCATTTTTGTGAAGAACTTAATATTTAAATACAGATTCATGTATATTGAGAGTGTTAAGTAGCCACGTTTGTAAATGCTGACTTACAAGCAGTATTTCACGTATAATATGTAGGTGAATATATCATCAGTCTCCATACCAAATTTCACTTGCTAGTGATTCAGTTTAGTTATCACCATCAAACTGATAGCTACAGAAACTATTCATAATACTTTTATTTATTTTAATGTTCTACCAGGTAATTATCTGTAAGACAGTCACATATTTTTCTAAGACCTATTTCGAAAAAAGTATATCAGAATCCTAAATTAAGTGTTGTTCATGTTCTCACAAGTTCATGTGTTCACAGAGTTCCTGTTACTAATTGTAGGAAATGGGCTTCAGTGGCAAGACATTCATACTAAGATTCCTGAAAATCAGTCAACTGGTTAAAAAATTTGAATGAATTTTTACACAGCATTGGTGATCTCAACACAGGATGTGTGTCACCCAGTGACTAACTCCACAAACAATATGGCCACGCCATAGCCCGGACGGCTAGTCGCTGGCTTCCCGTTGCGGCAGCCCGGGTTCGATCCCGGGTCTGGTCAATTGGGATTTGTGGTGGACAAAGTGGCACTGGGGCAGGTTTTCTCCAAGTACTTCGGTTTCCCCTGCCAATCTTCATTCCCCCAATTGCTCCACAACCACCCTCACCTACATCTGGGGCTGGTACAATAGGTCAGAAGTGGCTGCAGTACAAGGGACTTAGTCCCACCCTGCTACCAATAAAAAAAACTCCACAAACAGGATCCTACTTTAGTGTTTAATTGCCCTTCAGTTGCCCAATAATTCCCTTAAAATTCATCACCACCATAAAAATCCTCATGACTAGGATCCTATCTGCATTCATTTAGTCCAGTTTTGTAATTACTTTTCAATAAATGTTTTCCACTGTCATTGCCTAGTGTTTATACCATTTGTAAATATACCTTACTACTTTTGTCCTTATGGTTAATCATGTTTTCACTAACAATTTTGAGTTGTTTATTAAGTCTAATTTGTAAATACTAAGAATAATTTTAATTCCAATATACGATGGGGTACCCAAAAGAAACCGAACTAATTTTTTTGTGGGCAGAGCTTTTGTAGTACCGCGTTTTGCCGCTATGAGCGCATAGAGCTAACATTCCTGAGTCGATAAGCCAACTACCGTTGCTTCAGAAGGTAAGGACTAGTTTCAGCAGAGTTTATAGTGACAACTGTTTTGTGTGATCGTCGTTTTTGCAATGGCTGATTTTCGTGAACAGCGTGCGGCGGTGAAATTCTGCTTTTTGCTCGGGAAAAGTTGAACAGAAACGCTTGAAATGTTAAAATGGCGTACAAGGACGATGCTATGGGGAAAACTCAAGTGTTTGAGTGGTTTTCCCGTTTCAAAAATGGTGAAATGTCAATTGATGACAAACCTCGTTCTGGTCGTCCTTCCACGGCCCGAACACATGAAAATGTTGAAAAAATTCGTGAAATCATCAAGGAAGATCGACGACGGACCATTGAAGAAATTGTGGAGCTGTCGGGAGTGACTTGGAGCTCAGTTCAGCGAATTTTGACAGAAGATTTGGGAATGAAAAGGGTGGCTGCGAAATTCGTGCCACAACTGCTGACTGCTGAACAAAAACATGGTCGCGTGGCAGCATGCTGTGCTTTGAAAGAAGAGTCCCGAAATGATCAAAACTTTTTTTCAAAAATTATCACCGGCAATGAAACCTGGTGCTATGCTTACGATCCTGAATCAAAGCAACAATCAAGCCAGTGGAAGACTTCAAGTTCGCCTCGCCCCAAGAAAGCTCGTCAGGTGAAATCAAACATGAAAACAATGCTGATTTGTTTTTTCGATGTGAAAGGAGTCGTCCATTCAGAGTTTGTTCCGCAGGGTTAGACAGTTAACCAGGCTTTCTACTTGGAAGTTTTGAAAAGATTGTGCAACAGTTTGCAGCGGAAGCGGCCAGATTTGTGGCAGTTGGGTGACTGGTTTTTCCATCATGACAATGCCCCTGCTCACACAGCCCTGTCTGTACGACAATTCTTGACCAAAAATGGTATGACCCCTGTTCCTCACCCTCCATACTCACCCGACCTTGCCCCGTGCGACTTTTTTTTGTTTCCTCGAATGAAAAGAGACATGAAAGGAAAGCGTTTTGCTGATGTTGCTGAGGTGAAGGAAAAAACGACAGAGGCGCTGTCAAGCATCTCAAAAGATGAATTTAGACAATGTTTTGAAAAATGGAATAAAAGACTAGACACATGTATTAGTGTAAGTGGAGAGTACTTTGAAGGGAATTGAAGGTTTGTGCTTAAAATTTGAATAAATAAGTTTAAAAAAAATAAGTTTGGTTTCTTTTGGGTACCCCCTCGTATTTTTAGTGGTACTGTAAAAGGTAAAACTATCCCTGGAACAGGCCATGGAGGCCCATAGGGTTGTGAGACGTCGAGGTTCCAACATTTTCTAGATAGCTCACAGATGGCGGTAAGGTCAACCTTAAGTGCCGGCCACCCTTTACCCCCCAGGAAACAACTGGTGAGACATCACAACTGATATGGGTGCCAGGTCATGAGGATATTGCTGGGAATGAAAGTGCAGATCAACTGACAAGAACAGGCTCTGAACAGCTGTTCATAGGACCTGAACCAGCTTGCTTCATCTCAATTGGAGTTGCCAAAAAAGCGATTAGGGACTAGACAGATAGAAACCATAAAAAATACTGGGAATCCATAATTGGACTCTGACAGGCAAAGGGTTTTATAGCAGGACCCTCTGCCAGAAGAAGGAAGGATCTGTTGAAATTAAACAGAGATCAGTTAAGATGGGTGGTAGGATTACTTCCCGGACACTGCCACCTAAAAGGACACCTTTTCAAGTTGCGACTGATAGATAACGCAGCTTGTGAAAGGTGCCTACAAGAAAAGGAATCAGTCACACACATCTTATGTGATTGTGAGGCCATAGCTTATTTGAGATTGTGTCACTTGGGTCAGTTTGTTATGGAACCAAGTGACTTTTATGACACTCCCATAAGCAGGGTCCTACACTTTATTAAAAGTGTAGGATTAATAAAGGGCTAATCCAAGGAGAAGCACAATAGATCATTGAAAGTCGCAGTGTGGGGGCTGGTTTTTATGGCCCACTGCATACATACATACATAGATCCCCTCCCCCCAGCAAAATTCCTGGTACTCATTTCTGTTAGAGGCTGAGTCGACCCCAGGGCCATAGTGTGGCTGGAAGGATTAGGTTAACTGAAAAGTCCAGTGAACTCATCAGGAATCGAACCCATGACCTTTCAGCTTGTAGTATAGTGCCTTAACCAACTGTACTACCATGTGGCCCTTACAGTGGTACTATGATAGAATGAATTTCATATGTTGAAGAATATCTGTTCATAAGATTTGAGGCTTTCACGGCGGTGACTATGAAGAAAGCAGTCTTCTGGGATTTGGCACCGTGTATACACGGTGCCAAATCCCAGAAGACTGCTTTCTTCATAGTCACCGCCGTGAAAGCCTCANATTGTCAATTTAAAGTTATTAACCTCTTTATTACAACTGTCACAACACAACTAATATCAAGATCAGTGCCTAGTTTCGGCTATTAATAATAGCCATCATCAGGCAAATACATGGTTAACGTACATACACCACTGAACTGCAGTACTAGTAAAATTCGATACAATATTGTTAATTATATAAAACACATGATGTGAAATACAGTAAATCAGATTATATAAAACAAGAATAAAATTCTTAAATTGATGTTTTATATCATCGAATCAGTCGTTGGTTTTGTAATTTTGTTGCGTTCCCACGGACAAATTGGAATATTCTATATTTTGTATATATAAAATTGTATAGGAGGCTCATGTTGTAGATGTAGTAAATTAATGTTAATTGTTTAGTTGGTGCTAATGTTACAAAGTATTGTCCGTTCTGTAGGGAATGTATACAATGACTCATTCCAATTTTACTAGTACTGCAGTTCAGTGGTGTATATATGTTAACCATGTATTCGTCTGATGGCTATTAATAGCCGAAACATGTAGCAGAGCTGAAACTAGGCACTGATCTTGATATTAGTTGTGTTGTGATGATTGTAATAAAGAGGTTGTATATTGTAACACAACAGGACGCATGAAATGAAAATTAAAGTTATTAAGTTTATTAATTAGAAAATTTATTTGTAGTAAACACTATTATAAGCACTTGTTCTGAATTAGCCTTCCTACAATTAAAAAGTATCATTAATATAGTTAGCAATTCATCAGTTAAGAAACACATTTTTATCTTTTATCCACAGATTTGAAATTTTTGTACCACATAAAATTGAATTTACTGAGTGAAGAATAAAACCTGAATGAATAGTGTAGTGGACACAATACCTTCTCCATATTGAGGAGATTCATGATTCAAATTCTGACAGGGGAAGTGGAATACTGTGACTGAAGCTTTCATAATTTTGGCTGCAACTGAATTGAGAACCCCTTTTGTTTTTATAAACTTGCATGTGATAACATAGTTATGGTTTTAATAATCCACTTCAGGTTGTGAACTGCTTCCGAGCTTTGAAGGATTTGGATGCGTTTGAAACCGAAAAGGAAACTGAAGTTTCTAATGAAGATGAAATACCTTTTACTGTTCTTGATGTTGTTAGTGGACAAGAAAGTAATCCAGTGTCTTCACAATCACAGGTTAGTGCTCGTACAGAAATTGAAGTAGTAAAGCTACGATAAAGCATAAGGCTATCCTCGTAACAGGCCAAGGAGGCCCACAGGATTGTGAGATGTCGAGGCACTCGCATTTTGTAGACAGTCGGCTCACAGATGGCAGTGAGATTGGCAGTCTTACTTGCCAGCCACTCTTTACACACAGAAGATTAAAGCTATCTTAGAAGGATTATGTTTTTTTCCCTAATGAAGCTGGTGCCTTAAGGAGGGTCCATTCTGAGATGTTTTAGCCAGGACATGTGGAGCAGTGGGCAACGGAGTGAGCACAGAAGTTGAAGAATCTCCATTGCTGAGAACTATTAGCAAGCAGCAACTAGGGAAGACTGTAAAAGACTGAGGATTAGTGTGTCCTGTAGTGATTTGTAAAATGTGTAGGTCAGCAATAGCTCTCTAATTGCTTGTAGTTCTCATTCGTACGTACAAAGTGTTCAATAAATCTCTTCACCAATCCATACCCTGTCTGTAGTCATCCATAAACACCTGACACTACATTTTAGCATCTATGAAGGCTTCTGCCTTAAGATAATATTTGGAATGGTTTTTCCACATTCAAGTCATGCGAGATATATAAAATTGGGGATATATTTGAATATTTTACATGTTGTAATCTAGTAATCCATTTTTTTTAATTAACAGCTTTTACAAAAGAATTCGAGATGACATGAGCTGTCGCAATGCCTTGACTTAAGGTTCCATTCTACCATTGCAATTCAGAACTTCATGTGAAGATAGAAATTTTAACTGTACTTGGACAAACCTAAAATTGCTACACGACAGTCTTTGTGTCATGAAATAGGCATATCCTGCATCAATGTGGACACTTGGTTGTGGAGTGCAGATGTCTGAGCGGGGAGAGAACCATTATGACCAGGGCCCAGATTTTGATGACCTAAAAATCCAGAAAAATTACCTAAAAGTTAAAAAACAACATAAAATGTATCATGTCATGGAAAATGTACTAATTGTTTTAAAATGTATTTTTAATCTTTATTAACACTGTGAACTCATCGTTACTCTTTTAAGTTCGTCCTCGTTTTTATGTTGAAAATTAAGCAATATATGATTGAATTTGAAGCTAAATGTTTTAATATGATTTTTTCTACAGTGTTGGAATGCTTATCAAATGTACATATACGGTATATATTCCAATATTTAAGTGTCACCTCATTCAGAGTTACAATAGATGACAGTTAACATGCGGAGATTCTCGAAGGTGAATGAGCGCCTATTGTCCGACAGCACATTCTTATTCTTTGAGAAACTCCTTTCCACATCTGCAGACACAATGGGAGCGTACTTGAAGTGTACCAAATCACTGGCTATTTCTTTTTCACAAGAGCGAGCGAATCTTCTAGCTTTGCTCCTTCTCCTTTAAGCGTTTTATTCCTTCCATCAAGGAACTGAAATTTGCCTTTATGAAGGCCAGCTGTCCTTCCATTTTGCTGCGAGAGAACTGTTCCTGAGCAGCTTCAATTGCCCTCACATCTTCTGTCTTTATTGAATATACTGTAACGTTCTTCAGTGTACTTCACTACCTGAAAATGATCGCAATAGTAAATTGCAGCATCAATCCATTTTCCCCACCTTGTAATGATGGGTTCTGGGGGCAGTGGAACACGAGGAGCCATAGATTTATATTGTATTTTATGAGCTGGAGCATCCACTTGAGGAAATCTTGATCTCACTTCATCCGTCACTCCATGCAGTGCATGTTCTAGGCAAGTAACATGCACCAATTTTGTATAAAACAATTTTATTGACTTGCCTGCTTTTAAAATATATGGGGCCACATCAGTCACAAAAAGCAAGATGACGTCATGTCGTATACCCCCTGGCCACGGTAGAAACATGGACCAGTCAAAGAGTTTACAAATTGTGGAATGATTACGGATTCCAGGACCTCACTCATGAGCAGAAACACTTCACATGGTCCATCAATTTCCAAGGTTTCAATGATGACGTTTGCCACATAGCACGCCTCCGTATCGCAGGTCTCATCAATAGAAATGAAAATCTTCCCATGCACTTTATTCCTAATAATGTCCAGGATACTGTTGTAGCACTCGGAGAGATAGTTTATTAGACTTGGTGCTTAATATCACAAAGAACTTGATACTGCGAGTATTATTTATGGAGCTCAACATGCATTAAAGCCATATAAATGGAATGTATCAGAAATTTTATTTGATGAATGACTGCTGAATAATTGCAAATGATGCTCCACACTGACACTGTATTCATACATTTATTACCAAATTGAATGGCTTTGACTAAAGCCTGGCCACAACAGTCCACTCACTGAGCAGGTTAGCTGAACAATGACACATGAGCTTCACGTCCAGGAAATGCTTGGTTTGTGTTTTTGCCAGTGCCTGGCTAGCAATAGAAATTCTCAGTGACTTCTTTCATTGATCCAGGAAAATGCTAAAACATAACTTTGAAAGTCCCTGACAGTTTCTTCCCACATTCTTTCTAGTTTGTAACTACCTTTTCATCTGATATAACTTCTGCAGTTGACACAATGCCATAGAATATCTGATTAGAAAAGTGTATTGTTCACCTGAGTAGAGGTTAAATGGCTTTCAGAACAAGATAGGTGCTCCAGATCAGCAGAGAAGCCTGTGGTAATGGCCAGCAGTATTATAAAAGCCATTACATTCAAGGTTTCTGAATTCATTCCTTATGACAATGAAAATAGCTTAATTAAAAAGAAAGCACATTCTGAAACCAAGTGGATGCAGTCTGTCAGTGTGCTCATATACAGTGCTGTACCTCAGTAACTCAAATGACAGCTTCTTTAAATCTGGCAGAGCAAAAAAGAAATTGGGGTTCAAGTGTGACAGTTTTTAGTTCAGTTGACTTAGTTAGTTAGTTAGTTAGTTNAGAGACTGCTGTTGGGCGGGAAACGTCCGTAATTTGGCTCAGTGACCTCCTTTGGAGATATGAGGTTCTTTTACGTGCTGTAAAGCTACGACATGGGACCCACGGCTTAAAGTCCCTCCCTGAGGACTTGCTCCCAGAATTTTTCCGCCCTTAAAAATTCGACGACTTCCGCCGGGTATTTGAACCCGCGTACTATGAGTCATGAGGTGGGAACGTTACCTCTAGACTACGGAGGCCGCTTTCAGTTGACTTAGCTTTTGATATAATTTTGAGGTTATGTAATTTTAATACAACAAATACTGCTTTACCAGCCAGAGCTAGCTCCTGGCGGTGACAACAGGCCAGATGCAGGATATGTGTATGATCTGTACTACACCAGCGTGGCAGGGAGTGAAGGGCTTGTTGACCTGGACAACCTGAGTGTTCACCCACTTTCACAGTCATACTGGGAGTATCAAGATCCTGAAGATTCAAGTGACATGTCACCTGAAGAAGAGGATGAAGATTCCAATGATGAGAACAACTGGCGCAATGACTATCCTGATTCAGATCACAGGTTTGTAGAATTCATTTCTGTTCTCTGGTATGACAGACCATTTCGAAGTAAAGGTTTGAAGTTTTCTAATAATGTTTGTTAAAATGAGATGAATAATTTTCATTTTATTGTCAGCTGTTTAGCTACTGCCCATTGGGATCAACATGGAATGTGATTAATTAGGCACCTAGCAATAAATCAAAACTGATAACTCTCACATCACTCCTGAGTCAGCATTCAGAATTATCCTATCACTCTGATTTGTAGGTAGATAATGTCAGCAGTGTATACATCATCATCAAATAATCAGCTAACCAAGTTAATTTTTGTTTTCAGTCTTTCTATAGATGACATGAGAATGACTATGCAGATGGGGGACTTGAATCTCAGTAAGTAAAGCAACCTTAATCACTATTTACACAATCCTTTTCATAGTACTTAAAAATCTTGGAGTTCGCATAAAACAAGTTTCAGTTTTGTCCTTTTGAGAGCTGGAGGACAGGCGGCTGTTTATTTGCATATAGGAAAATACACGTGAAAATTTCTAAGTGGAGATGGAAGTAGTAAAATGATATAGCATCAAAAAAGTCTTCTTGAAAGTTCCTTACAGTTTAGCTTTAAAACAGAGAAAACACCCTCAAGTTATCAGTTACTTTGACAGCTTCTAAGGGGCATATAAGTGCACACAATATTTACATGACTTAAGAAATGTTTCAAGTCTCATGTGAAAAGTCCTCATCTAATTAAGGGTTTAGGGAGGATGTAGCAGGTTATATTTAAACAGAGAGAGAGAGAACTTGATGAACTTACAAACAAATAGTCTATCCTTAATAAATAAAAGTGGGCTGAAAATGGCCTACTGATTGGAGATTTGAAGCATCAAGATTGTGATACACACTGTTAGTAGATCAGTTTTGTGCACTGAGCTGTTAAAAAGAGTCATTGAGGCACAAATTTGTTGCAGGTGAGGGAGAGGAACTGTCAAGTGATGATTCAGATGAAGATCTCATATATGGAACAAGTGTGGATCCACAAGATGTGGCACTGTATGGGGAGGGATATGCACGTTATAAGGCACGTATGAAGCTTGAAATGTTTGACGAGGAGGAGTCTGAAGATGATGTGAATGATAGGGAGTGTAGCAGTGATGAAGAGGAAGATGATCCTGCAAGGAGATTCATGTAGTGTGTACATATCTTGGTATGCTTGTTTTTCAAAGATAATAGGTATAGCTCTGTAAATATATTCTGAAGAAGTAAAAATATTTTAACTGTCCCATGGTATTATTGACCATACATGTTTTAGTCCATTTCAGACCATCCTTAGGTGTCACACTATCTGTGCAAGTTAGTTTTAAATGCTTATTTTCTCCTAAAACTGTTGTATGTTAAATAATTTTTTTTAACATATTAATTCTATGCTCATGGATGCCTAGTGCATATGTTACAGTGTGTCCACAAAGTCCCTTTGTGGTTTTGAAAAATTGTGGTGTGCCAACAAATTGAACTAGCCACATGCGGTTTGCGGCAGATCATAGTGAAACGCTGGGAAGTTTTTTACAGACCTCAGTAGACCTAGATGTGGGCTCCCCTCGTAGCACAGAGAACGTCCAGATGATATTTGAGCTCTTGCCATGTTCTGTGGAGCATGTCCGCTGGAATAGCCAGGATCGCATTCCTGATACTGGTCTTCAGGTCATCAAGTCCGTTAACTGGTGTTCAGAACACACTGCTCTTGGCATAACCCCACAGGAAAAAAATCCAGTGGTGTTACGTCTGGTGAACGTGGAGGCCAAGGAATTGGACCATCTCTGCTGATCCATCTTCCTGGAAAAGACCCATCTAGGAATGTGGGTACCGTTGGAGCACCATCTTGTTGCAAAATGATGTGTGGCTGTAAGTGCTCAATTTGTGGTACTGCATTGCGCCGTTGCCAGTCTCTTATTGCTTTGTCACTCAGAGAGTGCTTATTGAACTGTGCGCATTAATTTTGTTGAGTCTGGATGACTGATTTTGTCCCAAAAAGCCATCCTGCATAGTCGCCATTTCACAAACAACTGACTGAGAAATGTAAAGATGGCTGCTTATGCCATTTGTTGGCGGCAGAAGAAAACTTCCAGAGTTCCACTATGATCTGCCACAAACCGCATGTGGCTAGCTCAATTTGTTTGCGTGCCACAATTTTTCAAAACCCCAAAGGGACTTTGTGGACACACTGTATATTCTTCTCTAAGACACCAATAATTTGCATCCTATATCCTTTTGTATTACTTATTATTAGCTTATTTTGTTGAAGTTACTGGATGTTCATCTGCTACTTCTCTACAAAATGTTTTTAACTTTACAAATAGTTTTGATGAAACTTTTAACCTTCTTTAGCCATTCACATTTTAGATCTTATTCTCTTAAAGGTTAATAGATTAAATAAACTGTATATAATGATTTGGGAACAGATTCTGATACATTTTTTGAATACTGTAAAACATTGGTTTTAGAATTTGCATATAATAGCACTGTCATGCAAATTGCAGAGATTATGTTCCTAAAGAGTACTAACAAAACCATAATGTCTTTATGGGAAATGAGTTGCCTCTGCAACCCTTCCACCAGCAAATGTGATTCTCTTGGTGTGGAAGCCCTTGATTTGTTTCATCTGTATACAAATTCCAATCCACAGATATATAAAACCATATACTACCATTAGCAAAACTGGGCAAGTGGAAAACTACAGAAATTTGAACTCTGTGAGTGATGAGGAACTGTCATATAGTGCAGGTTATCCACCTGCAGCTTTTTCTCAAGTGGCCAGGAAGCATAAGCCCATGATACATTCTAAGACCATATGTCTGTTAATATTCATGATACTGAATAAGAAGAACTCATTTTGGAGAATGACTGATGAAGCAATCTGATATGTCAGCGAAAGTGACCTTGATGAAGTGAGTGAAAACTGTAATGTGAGGGTAAGCCAGCATAATACAATTCGGTCAAAAGCACAGCATGTTTGGAATTTTGGGCACATCCCATCTTTCACTGAAGTTTTTAGTAATCTGAGGATGCAAGAGTTACCCCATGTGACCAAAGACTACACCAATCAGCAGGTGCAAATAGCCATGGCCACCAATTACCATCTTTCTGATCTTCACTGAAGTGACACAACTGTTGGTTTGGAGAGCCTCATAAATAATATGAGCCCAACCGATATTTAGACAAATTTCACAAGGACAACAGACTTCCTGATGTGACTGTATACAAGATACACATTTATTTCAGCTGTATAATAACACAATGTCAAAGCACATTGAAAAATTAAAAGTCCATTTTTGAACATCTATATATGTGTATTATATACATATACTATATATATATATACTATATACATTATTACTTCTACATGAATCAACGAATAATGAAGGAATCATGCAAGACTGATAAGGACTACAATAGAGGGAGAGTTAGTCTTGAGCAGTACATTCCTAAGAAACATAAAATTTGAGTATAAAGATTTATAAACTGTGCAGCAGAAGTGGCTAACTTATGTCAGAATTTGGCAAGGAGCAGGAAAAATGCAGTAGAGGCATCTAGAGCTAAAACATGCGACTCTGAATATCTTCACTGAGAGAGTAGTTGCTATATTGAATCGGTAATTCATCTTATCCTATAGTCAAAGAATAGACCATAAGAAATTGTCTGATGTTGGTTAGAATTATTGGAAATTAGTCCAAGCAAACCTTACTTTCAGTCTACCTCACCCACAAGGAACCAGGATAACGTAGTTGGTATAGTGTCTGGTTACAGGCTGGGTGACAGAAGGGTTGGAGTTTGAGTCCCAATAGGGTCAAAAATTTTCATTTCTCATCATCCAGACTGGCTCTGGGACCCACCCAGCCTATCAAAGGGCTCATTCCCCATGGGTTAAATGGGCGGGGCATGAAGCTGACCACTCACCTCTTAACTAGTGCAAAGGTCAAGAAAATCCATTCCCCCATACGCCTTCATGGTATAGTGCTTAATTAGTTAAGTACAGGGACAATTTTACCTTTTTATCTCACCACAAGACAGTCATGTTTCTACTTGAAGATCAACACACTTATAACTGTTCTGCTGCATGGTTTTACCTGATGCTTGGCACGAAAAAAAAATTACTGAATGTAAGCGATGTTCCTAGTGATGTGGATGGTAGCAGCAGTGCCCTTATCTCTACCACAAAGTGTTTCTTCCACTGCAAGCAAGAGATTTAAACTGTAAGAAACATACTGCAGAATAATGACCACATTGACAGCAATTGTAAAACAAATACAAAATGTAAACAGGGAGAACTGATTTACCACTATGACATTTCACAGTTATTTTCTGCTGCTGGGAATGCTTCAAGATCTCTGTTCACAGTGTACAATAAATTACCATTAATCCAGGACTACAGTGAATAGCAACAGGTATCAATCCACGACTGTGAAGCTTTTAATATTCACAGTGTTTACCCAAGTGGGACTTGCTAGGCATCTGAATCATCATCTCCCTTGGTGGTCTCTTCAAGGCTAATAATAAGAGCATCCATGGCTTCCCTACTTCCTACAGAGGTTTCTGCTTCCCCAGCTCTCCATCAGCTTCACTGCATGTCACACATAATTCTCCCATGGTGGCATGACCTGAAATTTGGGCAAATGGATTTGTACCACTCTACACTCTACCACAATATTACAAAACACAGCAATTGAAATAATTTTATGTGACACTTGAAGCCTTTGCGCTGTACTCAACACAGATAAATATACAAACCTTTCCAATAATTCCTCTCAAATTTTTTTGAAGTTTCCATTCCAGACCCATTTTGACTAATGCTGCTGCTGTAATCTCTGTCTGGGGGCCAAACCAATTTATTGTGCTTGCAATGGCAATTATATGGTGGTATGTGGAAAACCTTTGTGCCTGTGCTCGTCAATCAATTCATAAATTTTAAACCTGACATAGAATTTCATATAACACTGTCATGTGATGAAGTGTGACTGGATTTACTGAACACTTACAGATCATAATTACAAGTAACTATAATGCTGTCATTAATTCACATGCTTGGCACTTCACTACAACACGTACTAAGACTTCCCAGTATGCTGTGTTTTCAGCAGTTGTCTTGTAACGGCTTCCAACACTGCAGATCCCTCAGCTTCCATGTTCACACCCTTACTGGCTGGCAACTGTCTCACAGCTAACTGTACTCTAAGAATTGTCCTGCTTATAACACCTCTCACAACAGTTCTGTTATCTTTATTCTTTGCATCCTGTTGGTGTGTCATGTAGCTGTCACAGACTGCATAGAGAACACCGCTTCGCAGTTAGTTCACTGGTGTGTTATGAATCTGTTCCAGCCATTACCTAGCAATGGCCGTCATTTACAGAGTCATTACTTAGCAACAGGTCTACATGCTACAATACTGTCACGTGTTTTAGTAACTACTGAAGGCTTTTGGATTGCATTTATACACTCAACTTGTAACTACAAGTAATGCAGCACTGTCTCTATGTAAACAATTTACAGTTCACCATTACACACGCACTAGGGTTCTCAGTCTTCACTGGTTGTATCCTGGCAACGGATTTCAACACAGTAATTATACCAGTCTCGCTGTAACTACAGCACACATGAAGTCTTCTTTTCACAGCGTAATTCTTCTCTTGCATCTCATCTCAGTCATTCAACTGCCATCTCAAGAGACTAAATTATTCTTTCAGTTGGCCTAGGATCCTTGTTATATAGCCCTCAGGCCGATCCAACAGAAAACACAGTTTACATTACAAATTATAAATTACTCCGTCCAATGTGACCTGTAAGTTTTTTACTACATAAAAACTTAACACCCTTACATGTTTCGGTCTCTGTGGACCATCCTCAGAGGGCAAACATCAGTACAAATAGGAAACCACTATCACATNTGTTGTTGCCGCATAGACCAGGAAACAGAACACTAGATTTGGGAGAAACTGACAGAAATAAGACATACTCGTACACTCCTCTTGATTCCATGTTACCTTAGGTGGATAAAACACTACTATTAATGCTGCAATGGGAAACAGGTTGTGGAACCATTAAATGGATGGAATTCATAGGCTACCTTTCATTATGGTGGTGGTGAACACCAGGGCAGTTAATCACAGAACCTCCTGAACAGCTAAAATATTATTGGCTACTTACATTTCTGATTTGTATGACTTAATCTGAATAATTTAGGACAGCAGCATACTGGGTGCAGAGGAGTTAGATGGTATTTAAATGCACGCAGGAAAGTGATATGGGAGCAACTCTTCAACTGACCTTCACCTTTCTGTGTATCACTGACCAATGGGCCCACATATCTTCTCAGCTCTCACCCAAAGGAACGTGAAGAGAGTGTATGTCAACACTAGTGGCCCAGATGAAGATGGTGGTGAGGTGGTGAGGGTAAATGTAGAGACAAAGGATGTATAAAACACAAGTAATTACAAATAAATAATTTATTGTCTCCACTGGACTGAGGGGGTTGGTATTATATCTGTTGCCACCACAAAGACAATGACATGATATACCTGCCCAGCACTCCTACAATACACACATTACTCTTCCAGGGAATGTAATTAATTATTATATAAAAAAGATTAGAAACTTAAAACTAAACTCAGCTACAACAGCTGCGTTTTGTAAATGCGAGCAAGGTATGGTTCTCCCATTTTGCTGCTATAGCAACATTTGAGACGCTGTACAGAACAAAAATCGAGATATTTATATTATTAATATTATTACTATTATTATATATATGTAACATATAAACTTAAAAATTGCATTATTACAGGTTAAATATTGCATTAAACATTGTTTTACTCATTTGTGTAATGTTCTTTGTAAGAACAAAACATGTTTAGTATGACATTCTTTCACATTCTACTTCAGGGCTATTCTGTTAGTATGTTGAACAAACCAACCTGGCAAAATTCACAGATTGGGGGGAGATTAATGCTTTAGGTTCCATATTTTCATTAAACTAGTATGACACTTGAAGTATACAATTATACTTCAAATCAGTTTATGATATTCATGAGCAGGAATATTCAGTATTTTATAAAGTCAAAAATAATGATGAAGTCCCACAACTCTTAATTATTTTATCTACTTGTGAGTGGAAAGAGGTCTTAATTTGGATCTGAACTGCTAATTGAATAGCCCTGTTCTACATCATGTCATCGCATTTCCATATATATATGGAAATCTGTTTCTAATAACAGTCAGTGCTTCTGGTACGTATACAACATTATTCTAACATTACAGGGATTTAAAAGTGGTGACAAATTCGAGTGTGTTCGAGCACTATAACGTTTCCCAATCACCTAATCACACATCATCAGAATTGAGTGGAGCTGGCTTCATGAACTTACCAGTTTCAAAACAACCTTTATTAAGAAATGTATCAGTACAGTGACCAAGCTGAATGATTAGGGAATTAGTGTTTGATTCCCAACAGGGAAAGAAATTTTTTCCTTCAACATTGGCACCCACATAGCTGCCTCCTCTGAGGAGAAAGCAAAAGTGGAATGACATTAATCACTCATCTACATCTAGTGCCAAAGATTGATTTCTAAGAGCCTGGCTAACCTTACCAGCAAGCTCCACTCAAAACAAAACGAACTCACCACTTGATATGGCATGGACTAGATCCAAAAACCTATCTGTCCTTCTGTATGTACACCATTATTACCATGGGGGTAGATTAATTTCATGTTCGAGCACACAGTTAACAATAATGATGACATCAATCATTGGACGAGTTTTTCTTTTTAGCTCTAAAGAGTATTCAAGTGTTTCTGGTAGCCACTGAACAACAATGTTGGACTGAGTTATTAACTTCATATACATGAGAGGGGTAAAACAAAAATACCTTCAGTTACCATCTTCATTTAAACATAATTATATAAATGAGATATTACATTTCATTAGCATAACATTACTTCCATAAGCATTATCTGGGGTTCACAATTCTGTTAGTATACCAAAATCAGTATCTTGCATACAATAAAGTTAACTGACTCCGTATTATCACAAAATCTTCAAATACATTCAATTAAATTATATTAAACCATCATTCAAATTCTCTAGAATTTTTTTAACTATTTTAGCCAGTTATATGGTCTATGTTTCATGATAAGAAGCAAGCTGAAAGAAGAGAGATGATTTTCATAACAACCCTTAAGAAAAATAAGAGGTGGAGGAGGAGAGAAAGAGGAAGACGAAAATGTGTACATTTTATACCACCATTATCATCACAACATAACATTATTATCTCGTCCTTCAAGCTGAGCAGATGTGTTTGTTCTGTGCTGGGTTGCAGTGTCTACCTGCAGTAACTGATTTTGCTGGCTCTTGTTGCAGGTTTGATTTTCCTGCATGATAACTGCTTATAAGGATACTTGCCATATTTAAGAAACAGCATATTAATGAAAACAAATGTTTTTACATTGTACCAGGACATGCCGTGCAAGGTTTCATATTTCCTGACTGTAGCCGAGTGATGAGTATGTTCTCTATATGACAAACAGTGAGTCCCTTCAAAAGTGCGAGGCTTGTGTGGAGCAGATATGGTCAATGAGGGAAGAAATTATTCCCAGTTTTTCTCTCAGGTATGCTTTGACATCAGAGACTGGATAGAAGATGGTGTTTCCTGACAGCTTTTTCATCCTAAACTGAAGGAGAATGATTCACTTAGTGTTCAGCTGGAGGCAGTCAGACTTAATGGTGTTTGTATGGACAATATGATTGAGAACCTTATTAATATATTTCTCAAATTATCTTAGGAAGGTGGGCAGTTATGCAAAGATAACAAAATTTTGAAAGTTACAATGGAAAATATCTTCATGGCTGAATGACCCAGTGTGTCATATGAGCAAGAGTCACCGACATGGCACTATGTGGCATCATGAGCAACTCTGAAGAATGATCCAATGAAGATATACAAAGATGCTCTGTTACTTGGCTGTGTCCCACTTCCTTAGGATCTGGTAGTATCTACTGATTTTATATTGTCTGCAACCAACAAGAATGAAAGGAATGAAGGAAAAAATGCTCATGACTGCTGGTCATGGCTTCACAACAGCAAACAAGTCAAAGGCCAGGAAGGAAATTGTATTAAATTTATTCTGAAAATTAAACTCCCTTTGACTGGAGTACTACTTTTTTTATTGCTAGTGGGGTGGGATTAAGTCCCTTGTACTGCGCCCACTTCTGGCCTATTGTAACAGCCCCAGATAACAGGTGACGGTGATTGTGGAGCAACCGATGGAATGAAGATTGGCTGGGGAAACCGAAGTACATGGAGAAAACCTGTCCCAGCGCCACTTTGTCCACCACAAATCCCACTTGACCAGACTCGGGATCGAACCCTGGCCGCCGCGGTGGGAAGCCAGCAACTAACCACATGAGCTATGGCGCGGCCTTTTGACTGGGGCAAGGAACTATTAGTCTCTCCCCATTATTGTAAAAAGATTTCTCCTCTGTTGTTCTGACCAGATATTAAAACATCTCTACTGGAGGAATTAGAAACGTTTTGCAAGCCCACACACAAGGCATAAGACAAAATTCAAAATTTAAACTTCATTTCATGTACTGACCAATGAGGATTACTTCATCTTAATTAGCAGTATGGAAATACGGTTTCATGACTGCTTAACTGCTCCATTTTATGGGCATCTCAACCCCTGTCAAATTGAATCTTCTGATATCCCTGTAGTTGGTGTGCCAGCCTTCTTTAGAGATACTGTTAAGTGTGACAGCCCAAATGGTCATGTTGGGACAAATGGAGGCAGCTTTTATTGTAGAATCTGATGGCTCTCTTTCCCTTTGGTGTCAACAGTGACAGTTTATATGCAGGAAGTGAAAATTATATGTCTAACATATTTGAGTCAAATATTTTCCCCTCTGAAATGCATGAATTTTTTTTTATGTTCAGTTGCTCCTCAAGTCAGTCTTTCAGCTAGATGTGCTTCTGCCATCAATGCAGTTTGTAGCTCTACACAACTTTAGAAATTCGTGTTTAAGTACAAGTATTTCTAACTGATTTGTTTTTCTCCTTATTCGTGTATATGCATATTTGTTTTTTGTCCCTGTATCTGCTTCTGTTATTGTCCTTTTCTATTCTGGTGCCCTTTGTAATTGAGCTCTGGCGGTTGAGTTGAACTCAGCACATACATAAATAATTAATCTGAACTGAATTACTGTTATTATTATTTTATCTATTTATGTAAGAGTTGAAGCTTAAGTCATTTTTCACCCACAACATGTCCTACATGCTGACATTCATGTTTCAAACCTACAGATGATTCTGTACAAATCAAACAAGTAGCGATGCGTTATGTGAACTGGAAACCGAGTCCAACACATAGCAATGTAATACCACATCAATACATTGAAGTGTTAAATTACTCATGCACAAAATATGTTATCACAATCTATATTAATTTGTGACTAGAACTGAGAACCCCTGACTGCTATATGCACCAGGCAAACCTTCAGCAATTATCAGTTTTGCTCGACTGAAAGATCTTAAAGAACCGAGGCCTCTGCAGTCTGTCCGCCCTCACCCCCAGTTGTGCTCTCTCCAGCATGGCTGGAGCAATAGAACTTCTTATGTGCAATGAAGGTAGACAAGTAATTAAATGATATATCACATGACTTGCAGTACTTAGGTCCTGTCTTTTTGCTGTTACTCACTACTGATGTGGGTACATCCAGCATGTCACCTTCAACCTGGTCCTGAGCTTCCATATCACTAGAGTACAATCTACCACCAGAATCCCTATCTTGTTGTTGAGATGTATCAAGTCCTGACTTGTCATCAACTGAGCCACCTCCCATTTCATCCACTTCAGAAATCATGTTCAAAGGTTCAGCCTTCACTGTGGGTTGTGCCACTGTGACATCTTCCTCAACTTCAACATACTCCTCTTCCCTGTCCTCAACATACACTCTGGCTCCAGCCTCCTCTTTCACTGTCACTATCTCTTGTTTCACACACTGTTCAGCCCCCTCTCCCTCAAACACATTCCTGGGACTCCCCATCTTTACATCAGTAGGGGAGGAAGAACCCTCAAGCTCAGGCTTCACATGCAGGTGAACCAACCTGTGATGCCGCACCACATTGCCTTTGTATGTGGAACTATAGTTGCATAAGTCACAAAAGTGTAACTTCTCTATACGGCTACTGTCTCCTCCTTCTGCAATCTGTGGTTCTATGACTGCAGTTTCTGGTGGCTGCACAATTACCGCTTGCTGACTACCAAACCCTTCCTCATCACCAATGATGCAGGAGATGAAGTTCTCCTCCTGGGAAACAGAAAGACCGTTTTAGGCAAGATATGTGAAAAACATGATCAAATACAAGATTTCCAACATGAGAACAACTGCATTCATACTGTTGGAGGAACCTTGCACTGGGTTTCTGAAAGTATACTGCATGTTTGAAAAAATCAATAAGAAAACCCCTTATCTACTGAAATTATGGGATAAAGGACATTTAATTTCTACATTTCTGGACAGAGAGGACATTTCACACACAAAGTGTTGAACCTAATAAAAATATTGTCCCCTTGTTTCTATGCAACACAGCAAGTTTGGTTCAATTGCATGATGAAGGCAGAAGATAAATATTGCCTCTCTGCTTAAGTAAGGACCATGCCATGAAGATTTATTGGGGGAATGTAGGTGTAACTCCACATTCTTAATCTCAGTATTAGCTGTATCATGCCCCAGCTGTTTTACCTCTAGGGAAACATCCCATAGGTAGCAGACCATGGTTACCAGAGCTGGTCTTGGTGCTTTGCAGAAGAGAAACTGTTCTGTTCCTGCTGGAAATCGAACCACAATTCCTCAGTTGTCTAGCCAATAGACTAATCTCCATATTGCATGAGCTATCCCAGGTCCTTATGACTGAAGTATTAAATTTATCACTGTGCATCTCGAGTGCTTACAAAATCGGATTTGGGCGCAAACACATCCTTACACACAAACTTCACCAGTAAAATTAGAACTGTGGTCTTCTGGGGGTTATGACACCACATAGTTTCATAAGTAGCTTCTCAGAGAACATGCACCCTCAACCCTTCATTTCTGTATTGATGATGAAGGCAGCACATTCCTCACGAACTCACAAAACTACATGGCACCATAACGCAGAATATCACAGCCTTAATACTGATCAATGTGAAGACTTCAAATCAGTAGGGCACTTTTGTATTCCACCCAGATACAAACCTGTAAGTCTGTGGAACGTTTTTCAAAGTGCATGCGGATATGTGTCCTCATGCCTCGAAGAGTGTTACCCTTGTAGCGACAGATGATGCAACGGAAGGCCTTCACACCACTGTGAGAGTCCATGTGCTTCTGAGCAGCACTGGCTGTTGGACTCACAACATCACAGCATGGGCACTTCCAGCCACTGGAACCACTAACACTAAAGCACTGGTGGGCTGCCAACTGATCTCCTGGCACTGCTACCTGTATGTCAGAATAATGCACCTGTATGCTACAGGAAAAGTGGGCAATCTTAATCATCAAAAGATACAGCAGAATCTATGATAATCTTCCATAATAAACGTTGATAAAAGGTAAGAATATTTATGCTACTTGTATACTTACGCATATTTAAACCAATCAGCACGAGTCACCGTCATTGTCCCTTTTCACCTGGTACACGAGCAGCCATAGTATCACCCATCATTAAGATTCACAGACACTTTTTAAATTTTCATTTTCAGGGCCTCCTGCTTTCATTTACTGGCCAATCCTCTGATTCTCCATGATTAGTCCCCTCCCATCCTACAGAGTCTAATGCCTTTCCCAACTTGGCTAACCTCTTACCCTTAAGAGTGAGGCACCATCTATCAGTAGACATGTCATAACCCAGAAGACCACAATGTTTATTGATTTCATGAGGATTCATCAAATAAATTGATCAACTGCATTGAATAACGGGATCATTATGATATTTGGGACTCTTGCATGGTCAATATTATGACTATGCTTCTCTGGGATATGATGCCATATGGCCTACTTGATAGATACAAACATTTCAGAGGACATTCATACTCATTTACCAGACTATGTAGCATGCATCCCAGAAGACTACATTCTTAAAGATGATTATGAATAATGTAGTGCAAAGAACACAGAAGTGTTTAACCTACTTCAAAGCATTGCTATCAAATCACTTTGGAAAAACTGAGGAAAACCATAGCCTGGACAACCGGTCTGTAGGATGAAATTAGAATATGAGGCTTCCAAAATATAAAGCAGAATTGCTATCAACTACCCCCTACACTATTAAGTTCAGTATGAGTGAAATATCTGGTACCCTTCTGCTGTTGTTTTATGGACAATTGCTGAGCTGAATCTATTCTTTCTCTTCTTCCCTCATCTCAGTTATCAACAATTTACATTTTAGCAATATGAAATATTATGAAGAATACAAATTTTGAGAAAATAAATTAAAGGACAGTTGTTCAAAGGTCCATTCTTGGCCATAATACTGTTCCACCAAGTACTGCACAGAGTAACAAAAGCCATTAATGATCCAGTGCAAAGAACTCACCTTACACTTTACACACTTGCGTGCAGTAGAGACAGGCGTTTTGTCAGACACTGTCTCTGCTGCAGTTTTGGCCATCAGTTCTGTCCTTTTGGGGCAGTAATACGCCTGGTGTGCAGTCAAGTTGTCATATGAAGTGAACTTGATGCCACAGGCTGCACAGATAAACTGAAGCAGTGTTGGAGGCTTCTGCCCTACCGGACTTTGCTGCTGCTGACCTGATGAGCTGCCTATAGTCGGACTAGCTGACCTGCCATGGTCCTTGCTGTGGGGTGGAGACCCAGAGTTGGACGTGTTCCCTGAAGGAGAGCTGGGCACTCCGCCCTGAGGACTAGGAACACTGCCACCATCACCACCACCACCACCACCACCCTCCAGTCTTGCTGAGCAATAGTGCTTCTTGTGAGCCATGTAGTTCTCATGCTTACAAAATACTATGTTGCACTCCCGACATTTTGATACCCCTTGCTTCACAAGCACCTGTGGAGGTGGAGCTACAACTGCAGCGGCTTCTGTTGCCATCCTCAATGCCATCTCAGAAGTGAGAAGTGGTAGGATATTGGCTGGGGAGAGCAGGTCTGCAGATGTAGTCCGAGGGTTTGGTAGCAATAATGGAGGTTGGATTATGGGGGTAATGTGTGGAGTTTTAGTTAGCACTGCGTTCTTGCTTGAGGCTTTCCCTGAGAAAGCGAGAGATACAGATGGGGATTTGAGGACAGGTGCCCCATTACCTCCATCTTCTCGATGCACAGATGATGCAGCAACAGCAGCAAGTAGCAAGTTGGATAAATTGCTGGTAGAGTCTACCTGACTCAAGTGGTGACTAATTGCCACTGCCAGTGCCTTCTTTTGGCTGTCAGTAGCTGACTCCAGACTACTGTTCTTTCCATTGCTGTTGTTCACAATAACACCATTTGGCGTTCCTCTGCGTGGTGACTTTGGTGAAGCCTGCTGGGATTTCGGACTGTTACTTCCAGACTCAGTTCGTGGTCGTTTGGCGGGAAGTTCTGATGATCCAGATCCTGGTCCCCGCTTCATGTTGGACTGTGAAGAAATGGACAAAACTGGAGAGGTAGATGGTGGTGGAGAAGGACTGGAGCATGTTGAGGAAGCTGAAAGGAGGAGGGAGGGGATGGACGGTGCACACACAATGTCTTCACCTTCATCTACTTCCACTTCTTCATCTTGCGCTGCTGTACTGAGTTGTGGAGGTGGGGGCGGTGGCAGTGGTGGTGGTGGAGGAGGTGGTGGTGGTGGTGGAAGTAGGGCAGGTGATGTCCTTCGAGAGTCCTGGTCACTGTCCAGGTCCACTACAATGTCTCCAACCCCACTGCCTTCTGAGGAACGCCTCATGCTTAGATCCAGAGGTGTGGATATATCTCCAGTGGTCTCACTACGAGGTGCAGATCGACTGCTGGTTCCTGTTCGAGCTGGCACCGTTGCCTTAACCTAAAACAAGTGTAAACATTAGTTGCATGACGCCTCCATGATTAGAATAAAAGTGGCTTTGATTAACAAGAAAAAAATAAACTTGAAAATAAAATACAGATGTGCATCACTATACAGATCTTTTAACTCATAAAATCCCTCTGTTTAAATGACATTGCCCACTGACAATGATTTTAAATTCTGAAAAATTCATTATGTTAAAACACTGTATTAACTAGGAAACTTATTTCAAAGGAATTAAATTTAACCACCTGCCTACTGGTAAGCAGTAAGAATGATCTATTATTTGAGGCCTCATGGCAGTGAATATTTAGATTACAGTTTTCTGGGATGTGACACCATGTAATACACTAAAGGAGTACCCACACTTAGGAGCAACCTGTTGCCTGCATCTTCAGAGCCATTTATCTTGAAGATGGAGTAGCAGGTTCCTACAAAACATGAAGAGTTATGTCTTGAGATACAATGCCATGCAATCCAGCAAATCGACTTCTGGAGGATCGAATTGTGCAATGGTAAGTTCCTCTGACACAATGGTTGACTTTCACCAGACTGCACAGTGCTGCATGCCAGAAGACGTAACTCTTTTTATTTCAGAGGCGTTTCAAACAAATTCTTTACCAAATATTACGAGAGTAATAAAATCAAGGAGTATGAAAGAAACAGGCCTTAACACAAATGGGGGAGATAAGAAATTCAAACAAAATATTAGTCAGAAAACCTGAGGGGAAGTGGTCACTTGGACAACCTACCTGCAGAAGAGATGGTAATACTTAACCGGATCTTAAAGAAATCAAGTCTGATGATGTGGAATCCCTATAAGTGGCTCAGATTGGGTCGAATTATGCGCTCTTGCAAACACATTGATGAACCTTTGCATCCTATAAAAGGCAGTAATATCTTGACCAGCTGGGTGTGATCAGCTTTTCATGAATGTGGTTCCATGGAGTTACTTAATTAGTCCGAACAGAAATACTCTGTACAGAAGCAAAATGATGGATACTTCCACTTTTTAAATAACGACTTTAAGACTTGCCTACCTGCTCTGTCGTGTGAGTGACCTCCACCTCCTTACTGCTGGTGCGTGTGTGCACTGCTTGAGCCATGGGCTGTAGGGTACCATTGGGGAGGAGAAGACATGCTGTGTCAGGGGCTGGGAGTCCCATAGCAGCTGCCCCAGTTAGGAGACTGGCCCCCTGAAACAGTGCATAGGGCACCAGCAGGATAGGGTTAGTGGGCAGTGCCAAGAAGGGCTGTGGAGGGCTGCGGTGCTCTCTGCTGGGAGGAGAACAGCTTGGTGAAGTGCGTGATGTGACATCTAGTGGTGACGCTGGAGCTGATTCTGATGACATCTTCGTCGATGGTGGTGGTTGAGACTTGACCACATGCCTGGTGCTGCAGTAGTGCAGCTTGTGTGCTCTGAAAGTCTTTACTGATGAAAACCGGATGTCACAATCCTGGCAGTAACGATCCACCAGATGTGAAGAGTTCAACAGGGCTGCAGCGACCTCTGCAGGTGGTGTGGGCACTGGTCCCCCATTTGATAGCGAGCTGGAAGTTGGACTGGGACCCGGAGATGAAGAGTGCATCCGCATGTGACGGTTGAGACTGACCTTCTTGTCAGCACTGTAGGAGCAGTGTGGACACGCATACTGTTTGCCTGTTCTCACTGTCTTGTTTGGCATGCCATTCACTTCTGGTACACCCTCATTGGCCGATGCCTCAGCGTCTCCCCTAGGAGTTTCACCTGATGACAATCTGCCATCCTCACTGTCACTGTCGCCCCGGCCTGCAGACAATTTGGCAACAAAGATTAACATTTAGGGCAGCTACATACCATTTGCCAAAAAATACACCAACTGTTACTGCGTTGGACAAATTTTTTAGGGATTGGTCAGCCTTAAAATATAACTGACACACTCCAAGAAGCAAATTCCTTCAGTCACTCAGCTAATCATGAAATTCCCTGACTTTTAAGAAACCCAAAGGTTCACTACCATGTTTGCAACAGCCCAATACTGAACAATATTCTAATCCAATAAATCCAGTTTATACATTCCCATTCTATATCTCTCTATTATCTGTTCAATATTTTTCTGCCATCTATGTCAGAAATAGATGCAGCCTTCCTTGCGAGTTCCTGACCAGAACTTTGTATGCATTTTTTGTCTTCCCTCAAGCGTGCTACATTCCTAGTTCATCTCATCCTCTTTATTTCATTCCTGAAAATGTTGGCAAAATATAAATTATGCAACTCCTCATTATGGAGTTTCCTCCAGCCTCCCTCTTATTTCCATGTACTGTAATCCTTTACTCAGTCCTTCAATAACTGGAACCCTTGTAATTTATTAGTTTTAATACTGTACGACAGTTATTCTGAAAGTAACCTCCGTTTATTTTACGCAACTAATGTGGGAGCGGTGAAGAGTTCGCGAAACACTAAATCCGTGTACAGAATGCTGACAACCTGTGTACGCGTGGTGCTCCTCCATGACAAGGCGCATCCGTATACACCTGCTTGCAATAGAGCACTGCTGGAGCATTTCAACTTGGAATTGTTTGACCACCCTCCTTACAGCCCTGATCTCGCTCCGAGCGACTACATCTTTACTCATACCTCCCTGAAGATCGGTTGAGCTCACAGGCGGCAGACTTCTTTTCTTTGTCACAGGCATACAGAAACTTATTACCTGACATGACACGTGCCTCAATTCCGGCGGTGACTATGCTGAGAAGTAGCTTAAGTATATATGTATATTTTGTATACATTTTTGTCATTGCTTGTTTTGTTAACAGCTCACCGGAAGTGACTTTCCGAATAGCCATTGTATTTGTTTTTCCTGGCAATCAAACACCAGGGGCCTGTCATATCCATGCTAGTAACCTGAAACAGTCCTCAGCACCTCATAGAGGAGCACGAAATTCGTGACGTTTTCCTCTTCTGACAGGAATCGCAACGCATTGCGCAATCCTCTATCGACTGTCTGACCAGTTCGCATATCCTCTTTCGGTCTCGATGAGCTGCAAAGATCGGATCATGGTTTGCGGAAATTACCTTCTCAACTGATATCAATTTTTACTAGAATTTGTTTGTGGTTTTCATGGTAATTTTGTTATAATCATTTCGGAAGAACATGCAATCTTTACCTTCAAGGTAATAAGCATAAACTGTATGACGGAGGAAACGTGTCCTCCCACAACGTTCCTAATTACCTAACAGACTTAACATAGCGCCATAACTCGGAAGACAACCATCTATAACTTATATCAAATTTTTAGGTGGTTAAACTAATGGGATTACGATTAAATGAACGAATAGCTGAGTTCGGTGGAAAAAAGAAATGCATAAAGAATATTTGGGGAACATCTTGCGAAAAATCGGTTTGGAAGACCAGGACGAAGACAGGAAGGTAAGGTAAAAAAGTAAAGCTAACTCTGTAACAGTCCTTGGAGGCCCATAAGATTGTGAGACGTCGATGCTTCCATATTTTATAGACAATCGGCTGACAGATGGCGGTGAGGTTGTCAGCCTTATGCGACGGCCGCCATTTAACCCCAGGAAGATTCCTGGTACTCATTTCTGTTAGAGGCTGAGTCGGTCCCAGGGCCACAGTGCGGCTGGAAGGATTAAATCAACTGAAAAATCCAATGAACTCATCGAGAATCGAACCCACGACCTTCCGGTTTATAACATAGTGCCTCATCCAACTACGCTATCGCGTGCCCCGACTCTATTCTATTCAAATTACAAGTTTCTATGATTGAAATAATGCTCAAGTGGGCCTGCAGGCTACTGCAGTACCTACATAAGCGTCTATATAAGGAAGAAGCATTTGATTCTGAGGGTAAGGAGGCTAATGGGAAATGCCATGGTATTCCAAATGGCGACACTTTCATGGCAACTATCTGACTGTGACAGGACTCTAGTATATCCATTCGCCCACCTCTGACCCTGAATTCCTGTATAGAGCAGAGTCAATCAAAATGAAAAGCCCTTCAAACTGGCTCAGCAGCACGGGCAAATCTACAGTCTAAATTTTAAGGATGGCATATTTTACCCTTCTTTGGTTTCTTTGTTCAAGTGAAATTAATTTATACTGCCTTCTGTTGATATCCCGACCAGTCATCTATAAAGGATACGCAAGTGTAAATATAACTGGGAACTACAGGCGCTGGTATTCTTGTCCAAGCCTGCAATCCCACTCTGACTCCTTAACTGCCACTACTGCTCCTCTGGCTCCTGCTTCATAAATCACAACACCAAGGGCTTTTTTTTTTGGTCGGTGTCTAACTGCGTGATATTGTGACGTTTGGAAAAGTTTGAGCTGCTTTTATTCGGTAGGGGCGGGCAGACTGTCCCCAGACCGGTATTTAGGTCAATATACGGCGTTACACCTCACATGACTCCCACATAACTTCTGCACGTTTGTTAACCATGGCTTACTAGATTCCTCACCTTTATGCGAGGCCGGTTTGGTGCCGCCAGCTACCGCGGCGCTCCCTGTCCTATGGGAACAGTAGTAGGTCTGGTGCGCCTCCAAGGTACTCAGTGAACTGAAGCGGATGCCACACGGGTTGCACATGAACACTGGCACTAGGGGACACACACACACACACAGACACGTCACCATGGAAGAATGATTCATATGAGAACACCAAATAAATGGACATGAAGCACAAAGCCGTTCCACAAAAAGGCCTCAAGTTCCCAACAGAACGATAGGGACTTCAGAAATGCGGGATGTGGTCATGCGCATTTGAACCCTTTGATTTGCGCCTTTGATTTAACCCATATAATGTTCCACTTTCATCCTATACCATTTTAAAGCTTGGCAGAGTTCTGATGCCTCTGCATAGCGATACTAACAGAGGTCTGAAATTTCCTCTAGTCGATTAACCCCTTAAAGCACAGCGGTAACCACATATTCGACCTGCATTAGCATAAAATATCTTCATTTTCCCTCGTTTACGTGTTTAGTATGACTCTCAGAATAATTACGGTTTATGTTATCGCGATTCCTGAAAAACGAATTACAACGTATATGGAAGAAGAATAGATCGTGGCTTATTGAGATCCTATTCTGGTACTACCTAGAGGAGTTGAGGAAAATCACGGAAGACCTCAATCTGGATAAGCAGGGTCCTGATTGAGATTCGAACTATTACTTCCCGAATTAAAGTCAGAATTGTTACCACTTAAGTCGATATGCTCCATGATTCTCGGAATAAATAGAGCTTATTTCTACAAAAAAGAAGGGGGGGGGACTTATTTTCATATCCAGTAACTAATGATCTCTCAAATTAAGATGCAGTGTTTCCTGTAAGGTAAGAACTTAATTGTAATTAATATTTCGATAAATTTCAAGCTTCACACGGTTAAAGTAAGTAAATTCGGAGAACAGCCAAACAAAACGGAAGAATCGCCATATTACATGGCGAAAGGGAAAAACAAACATACGCATATGTTCTACCTCAAAGTGGATAAAGTTCGTCACGTAGAGTTACTTCGCAAATATAGGCACACATAGATCACTATGTGTACTACATCGGCCTACAATATAAAAGATATTTGCCTGCCTGTTTTCAGAATATCAAATATGGTAAAATGCATAAAACGGCGTAGTTACTATTTACATGGTATTACCGTGCTGGAACACGGAGATACGAGATAACAGAAAAACTCTTACATGACCCTTCTCCCTTGAGATTCTAAATGCAAAGACAATTAGGAATAATTCAGAGTTTATTGCTTGCAGTGCACTAAACAAGAGGTCCAACTGCTTAGAAACTGTTTATGAAGTTATTAAGGATCTACTATACACATACAAACATTAAGAATTTAAAAAATACTTAACAAATAAACAATTTCAAGTACAGTACCATCATCTGGGATATAATACCGTGCAGTTTGGTAGAAATTCACTAACGTTTCGGAGGAAAGTACCGCCTCCGTCTTCGGGGTTGAAGAGTAAGCCAACCTGCAAGCCTGAAGATGAAGGCAGTACATACATTCCTCCAAAACGCTGGGACACTTTTACCACGCTATGCGGCATAAAGTACCTGAAATCTCGAAAAGAAATTTCATGACTGAAGTGACGTTCATGATTTGTGAAACCTGGAAGAAGATGCAATTTTGAACAATACTTCGTACTGCAAATCCGAGCTACGAGAAAAAAAAATTCATCGTTTTTTCCTGAGGGAAGGGCAAAGAGTCTTCAATGTTCTATGTCCCTCTGATAATTCCTGTAACATTCCCAAGTATTTCGGTGAAATACACGTCTTTATTTTATCGATGCTTTTAATTCTTTGTGAGTTAGCTGTCAGTATCGACACTACAAACATGGCGCCCGGTGAGAGGGCTGAATTGGAAAGGATTTCGAAGAAGGCAGTCAGTCTAACTGGGGTAGTATCTGCCTACAGAGACTGAAGGAAAAAAAAAACAAAAAAAAAATCATTCAGTGTAGCTGATGTCTCGGCCGAGGTGTGAACCGAGCACATCCTGAATACAAGTCTAGGGTGTTACCTCCAGACCAACCTGCGCCATGTTTCTAACTTTATTGGCGGGGATTTCATTGATTTAAGAAGATTAAAAGGCCTTCAGATAATTTCACTATATTAATTAATGCGGGGAAAATTACATATCGGCAAACTTTACAAACCATCTAAATCCACAGTTCTTAACGGTTTCCGACTCTCCAAATGTAGGAAAATACATTTTGACCCTAAAAATGGATGCTGCATGTTCCTTCGACACGTTGGCATTACTGTATAAGGCAACAACGCGTCACAGTTCATAAAACCACAATATAAAGACATAATTTACCTTCGTTTAAGCTGTCGATCGATTTATTATTTCTCTCTAATCTGAAATTCTTCCAGTTTCATATTCTACATTATGATGAGCATATTTACGTTATTGTGGTTATTGTTAATAATTTTAAACATTCTTGAATAAATCCAAAAACACCTTTGAAGTGCGCTTGTCTACAACATTTCCTGTCCTACATTTACTTACTTACTCACTCATGGAGCTTGAGCCCTTCTGGAGGAGCCACCAATTCTGCAAGTACTCAAGAATTTCCCAGCATTTTATAGAACCCGAAGGTTCATTACCGTGTTCACAAGAGTCCTCCACTGGTCCCTATCCTGAGCCACATCTATCCAATCCATACCATCCTATCCTATCTCTCTAAGATCCATTCTAATATTGTCCACCCACCTACGCCTTGGTCTTTCTTGTGGTGTCTTTCCTTCTGGCTTTCCCACCAATATCCTATACGCATTCCTCGTCTCCCCCAATTGTGCTACATGACCTGCCCACCTATTCCTCCTTGACTTGATCATTCTAATTATACTTGGAGAAGAGTACAAGTTATGAAGCTCCTCATTATGTAGTCTTCTCCAATCTCCTGTCACTTCATCTCTCTTCGATCCAAATATTCTCCTCAACACCCTCAGTCTATGTTCCTCCCTTAATGTCAGAGACCAAGTTTCACACCCATACAGAACCACAGGCAAAATTATAGTTTTGTATATTCTAATTTTTATGTTTTTGGACAAGAGACGAGAAGACAAAAGGTTCTGGACTGAATGTTAGCAAGCATTACCCGAGTTCAATCTCCTCTTAATTTCCTCCTGAATGAGATTTCCATCTGTTATCGTCGTTCCCAAATATCTGAACTGTGCCACATTTTCAAAACATTTGTTTCCTCTCTTTATGTCATGATTTTGCTCTGCATTTTGGTTATGAGGCAGCAGCATATACTTAAGTTTTCTCAGTGTTTATTTCTAGACCAGCCTCTTTACTTGCGTCAATTACAGTTGTGTGTTTCCCTTTATGGTATCTACATTATCACCCAGTAGATTCACATCATCGGCATAGACCAACAGCTGATGTGTTCCGTTTAATTTAAGTCCCACCGGGTTTCCCTGGACCTTCCTAATTCCATATTCTAAGGCAAAGTTGAAAAGGAGTGGCGATAAAGCATCTCCTTGTTTTAGACCATTCTGGATGGGAAATTTATCAAACAAATTTTTACCTACACGTTTAAACACAATTTAATCAACCTAACTAGTTTCATGGGTATCCCGAACTCTATTAGAATATTGTACAATACTTCCCTCCTAACTGAATCATAGGCTTTCTTGAAGTCTATGAATAGCTGATGTACTGTCTCATCGTACTCCCATTTTTCTCCAATATCTGACGAATGCAAAAGATCTGATCTGTATTTGATCTATTATGTCGAAACCCACAATGATGATAACCAATAATTTCATCTACATACGGACTTAACCTTGAGAGAAGAATATTGAATAAAATTTCGCAAGAAGTTGATAGCAGTGATATCCCCCGATAATTACTACAGTCAGTTTTATCATCCTTTCCTACAGCAAAGAAAGAAAAAGTAAGAATATGTTCCATTTCATAAGTGAATCCGTGTGAATAAAAAATAGTGTTTAATTATCATAAAAATATCTTCCACTAATAAGTTCATAGCTGTGTAGACCTATGACAAGCATGAATCTCAAAATTTACTTTTAACATTTTTCACAAGTCATTTTTTTCTGGAAGCTGGTAGGTATAACTGAAGTTGTGTGAGAAATTAATCATACAATATTCTCTTCCCAGATTCCGATATATTTTTCTTTGATTTTAAATGTCAAACCGTACAGAAGTTGGCAGAGTGTATTTCTGCAGTCACTGGAAATGTTTACTGATAAGCATTCCGAATGCCCACGATAGGCATAATTAATGTAAGTGTTGAGTGAAGGTATGCAACATGTCGCACATAAAACGTATCAACAGCTATGTCTCAAGGTGGATAATGTATCCTCCACTTCATTTTGTAAGCCAGAACACGGAAGGGGTGAGATTGGGCCATAATACGAGCAACGTCACACCAACATGAAAATCTTAACTTGTACACAGCAGGGGTGTTCTCACCTTGTCTCGATTCTAAAGCTTCGGGTTTGTGTCTTGGTAGTGGCACTGTTGTCGCCCCATCTGGTGGCATTGACGGCAAACAGAAGAACTGACCCGAGGGAAGAGCTGTCAACATATTAAACATGGATATGATTGTGAGCAGATGAAACGATGTCACGGTGAAATAAAAAAATCTATTTAGTCTCGGAGTTCAGGATTTCATGACGCTAAGGAATTGCATTGCGCTTTTTCTGGGTTACAACACCGTGTAATGTGACAGGTAGTTACCGTTGTTTCGGAGGAACCTACGGCTTCCATCGTAAGTGAAAATTCTACACAAGAAATGAGGGCAGTAGGTTCCTACGAAATGCTGGTAACCACCTGCCAGACCACACGGTGGCATGGCCCAAAAGACTTCCTCTTGTTGCAACTTATGGATTCGGTATTACAAGTCCATTCCGATATTCAGCAGTTTTTAAACCTGGTCTTTCAGTCCTTCGGAACTGCATTACGTACTTACGCTGAATCTCACTTACATCCTGTTTCCAATCTCATTCCTTCATTCATGGAGCTGAGCCCTTCTTGAGGAACCGCCAATTGTGTAACTACTGAAGAACTTCAAAACATATTATGAAACACGAAGGTTTATTACCGTGCTCACAAGAGCCGTCCACCGGTCCCTATCCTCAGCCAGATCGATTCAATCCACACCATCCCATCCTATCTCTCCAAGATCCATTTAACACTGTTCACCCACCTACGTCTTGGTATTCCTAGTGGTCTCTTTCCTTCTGGCTTTCTCACCATCATCTTACATGCATTCCTCTTCGCCCCAACCCCTCAAAAAGAGGACGAAAAGGTGGACCAACTCCAGGAAGCAGAATCCTTCTTAGGAAGCTTAAGTGACTCAGTCAATTTAATTATGACACAATGTGGAATTGTTTACATTTCAAAACTCTGTATTCCAGGCCACAAAATCTGGACGCTTTATTTCTCATTAACGATTTAAGAATAAAAACTGGTTACTGTTCTATTACGGGTACTGCTGGTCTCCGTGTGTCCACTAAGCAAATTTTGAGCTTTTCCACCTTAACATCAGTAATGTCTCCAAGACTTCCGGGATAGCGTAGTCACTAGAGCAACTGGCTACGGGCTGGACGAACAAGGGGTCAGAGTTCCGAGTCCCGGTAGGGTCAAGAATTTTTCCCTTCTCAACGTTGTCCACGCTGGTCCTGGGGCCCACCCAGTTTCCAATCCAATGGGTATCGAGGGCTCTTTCCCCGGGAGTAAAGCGGCAGGGGTCTTTGTACATTTTAAATGCTCGCCTGTTATAAGCCACTCGCTGTTGACAGGTACTTAAATAAAGGAACTGAATTATTATTATTTATTAACGACATATGCGATGCAGTTGCCCACTCTAAGTGTCTACTTTTTGCAGAAGACATCAAAATTTACCGAGCCATTAGTTCTCCTCAGGACTGCTGTCTACTTCAGTCTGGTGCATTGCTAACTGTATGAAACTCAGCATCAGTAAAACTAAAGTTATATCCTTCTCCAGGTTTATAAATGTCAGCGGCGCAAGGTCAGGGGCTCTCATGTTATGTTCACAATGCTCCCTAGGTAGAGTAGGGACTCCAAGCCACAGCTGGGAGACGCTTCCAATCGACGTGACTAGTTCACAATAATAAAATAATTTAATAGGAGAAACACAATAAAACAGAATACAACAATTAGAACTTAATAGAAGGAGTGGGCCCAAACACATACAACCTTGACCATGTCTGTCAATTACCTTACGGCTTGCCTTGCGGCATCAGACTACACTGAATAGCCCACGCTCACTGCTTAGTACCCTTGTTTACAATCATGCTACTTCAGCACGCACAAATAAACCTTAACTAATATTCATTGCCCACAGGGGATTCCTGGGAAAGAAAACACAATAACGTAAAGTTAACTTACAGCCCATCGCTGACACACAATAACCTATAACGCAAGCAAAACCCCTACGTGCATTGTCGGCACAACCGCTCAGACATAATTTAGCATACCTTCCAAAACAGAATTTGAAAATACCCCCAGGCTGGCAGTGTACGTCCAGTACGCTTTGGATCCACGTAGCGAATAAATCTCTATTCACTAACCGCCTTCTTCCGAGCCATTCGGGGGGGGGGGGAATCCCACGTGATACACTCCAGCACGGGGTGAAGGGGTAGGGATTAACATGGCTGGAAGGCATGACGTCATCCAAGAGCCTTCAACATGGCTCAATGTCAATTACATTTTCTCTGTGTTACGCTGTTGGGTCTAGTTCGTTGCAATACTTTCAATTTCCCATCTCTAGATGGGATGTACACCGCATTAGTTAGATCTAAGCTTGAATATGGGTCCGTAGTCTGGAATTCAATTACGTCAACTGACACTAATAAGCTGGAACACATCCAGCAGAGGTTTGTGGCCCTCAGTTTTAATCGTTTCTATCTTCAAATCCATTACAATTATTCTCTTGCTTCTGATGAGTTAAAATTGCACACTCTACGTACTACGAGACATCACCTCGATGCTCTCCTTTCTCAAGTTTACCTTGGTTTCAAATTCTGCCCTTCCATTTTGGAAATTGTTGGTCTCCGAGTTCCTGCTCGGTATGTCAGAGACTTTGCATTGTTCAATGTCTGTTCCCCATGTAAAAACTCTCCCTCTGCTAGAGTGATTCGGTTGCTAATGTTTGCAGGGACGTCGACGTATTCGGAGCCAAAAACGTTCTCCTTAATTTTCTTTATAATATGCTATAACTGTTGTTAGATCGCCTCTGTGGTCTAGTGGTCAGAGTTCCTGGCTACAGATCCAGAGATCCCGGTTCGGTTCCCGGCGATACCAGATTTTCTGAGTAGTAGTGGGTCTCGAAAGGGGTCCACTCAGCCTCGTGAGGATAACTGAGGAGCTATTTCAAGGAAATAGCAGCTCCGATGTAGAAAACCGAGATTAACGGTCTGGGGATTCGTTGCCCTGACCACGCGACACCCTCTATCCGCTAAAGTTGGCACTAACTTCGCAGGACGCGGAGGTCGCTCGGTCGGTCGATATAGTTCGCTTGCGGACTAAAACCACGGAGTTTGTTTTTTATTTTATAATTATTATTATTATTATTAACTTATGTGTGTATGTACGTGTATTGTCTTTCCTCGCCACAAATGGCATAACAATTGGAAATGTACTTATTTTTTTTCTCGCCTGTTAATGCTAACTTTATTTTTTCTTGAAATTGTTATTAATTTATTGTTATTATACAGACTGTCATATTTTGTATTTTGATCTTTAATTATTTTTCTGTATTTCTATGCACTCCCGCTAACTTTGTAATTGGTCTTGCTGTTAAGTTTGTACGCAGAGAAACACGAATTGAATAATAATAATTATTATTATTATTATTCAATTCAAGAATCTTAAGTAGTAGTAATACTACTATTTGGATGTTGAGTTAACACACAAATACACGGTGTGTCCAGGATCCGTTAGGACTCTTTTTTTTTTTAATTTTGCCCTGCGAGTTGTGGCGTTAAGATCCTTGAAGTTTCGGCTGTGGCTGTCTATAATTTCAAAGCGCGAGCTTCGCTGCATCATGTGTTCTGACCTTGAATGTAACAGTACTGTTCTGACGCTCGTCGGAAAATGGCGGTTGAACAGTGAGCCAACATCAAATTTTGTTTGAAGTTACGCAAAACAGCCGGAGAAGCGTACGGAATGATGAAGTGTGTGTGTATGGTAGTGTTTGAGTCGCTCGAATATTTTTCGATGGTATGCTGTATTTCGTGATGGCAGGGAGGACACTGAAGACGCTGCACGTGCATCAAAGCCGAGAACAAGTCGCACTGAAGAAAATGTGAAAAAAGTGGTCGAAATCCTCGCATCAGACAGGCGTGTTTCTGCAAGACTCATCGAGGAGCTTTGGGGAACACCAAAAAGTACAGTGCATCAAATTTTGACCGAGGATTTGGGCAAATGGAAAGTCTATGCGTGGTTTGTACCGCACGCGCTGTTAGGCGATGAAATGCATGCCAGAGTGGAACACTGCAAAGACATGTTACGGTCGACCCAAAGTGATACAGAATTTAAAAAATCGATTGTTACTGGTGACGAGACATGGTGTTTTCATTATGAGCCTAATCATTCACAAGGAATTTCTGCCAGGAGGTCAAACAGTGAATTCTGATTATTATCTCGGAGTCCTCAATTGTCTGTGGTCGAGAATTCTTCGAATTCGACTTGAATATCGAGAGTAAGGTTTTTAGTCGCTCCTCCACGACAATGCCCCACCCCACAAATCGAAGATCGTGCGCGATTTTTTGGCCACAAGAGAGATCACAGGCCTTGATCATCCTCCGTATTCGCCAGATTTGGCTCCAGCAGATTTCTGGTTGTTCCCAAAAGTTAAGTTGGTGATGAAAGGAGACCGTCACGACACCATCCACGACATCCAAAGGGAATGTACCGCAGTTTTAAATGCGATTCCACAAAAGGAGTACAGTGACTGTTTTCGAAAACTTATCAATCGATCCCAGCTATGTACTGATTCAAGAGGAGACTATTTTGAATAAAAAGAGTGAAATTTTGAAAATAATTCACGTCTTGTATTTTTAATGAACACAGGCCTAACAGAACCTGGACAAACTGTGTAAGTAATAATTAATTCGGTCATTATTATTAACTTCTATGTGTGTATGTACGCGTATAGTCCTTTCTCCCCACAGAATGGCATAACCACTGGATATGTACTTATTTTACTTTTATCACCTATTAATGATGAATTTAATTTTTCATTAAGTTATCATTAATTTATTACTATTATATAGACTGCCTTATTTTTTATTTGTATTTGTTAGTTATTTACTGCATTTCTACGTACTCGTGCTAACTTTATAATTGGTCTCTGAGCTGTTAAGTTTGCACTTAACAAACAAACAACAACTGAACTGAACTGAATTGAAGTGAACTGAACTGAATTATCATCATCATAATTATCGTTTGTTTTGTATTTTGTTTGTAAGGGTTTTGTTGTTTCTTTCATCTTACTTGTGATAACTTTGTAACTGACCTATGGGCTGTTAAGTTTGCATGTAAATAAAGAAGAATTGAAGTTAATGGAATTTTATGACGAACTCCATGAAGGAGAATCTTTCTTGAGCACCCATCAGTCATTCACCTGGTCAATAAATTCCCCGCCATTTAAGAACCCGACGACTTCTTACATTTTCACAGCAGCTAGCTACGGGACCGTATACTGAACCAGATAAATCCAGTGCAAATCTCCAAACTGCATTTCTCTTAATTACAGATACGTCTTCCAAACAGTCCTCATCCACTGATTTTTCGTCTAACATTTCGTGGATATTTCCCATTGCGTTCTACGCTTCCTGTCCATATCATCCTCCCTAATGTAGTCACCTTAATAACATATCGTGAATAAAATTCGATTAATTTTATTAGCATAATCATGACTGTCATCACACGTTTAATTTCCTTTCCCCCCCCCCCTTGGCACTACAGCCCCAGTGGGCCTAGGCCTACCTCCATGAACTTCTCCGTTCACTTCGGTTTTTCTCGATCTTACACATTCGGTAGGACTCCTTGGGTGGGTGATCAGCTCGTCGCAAGGCCTCTACCTGTACACAAACATCCATGCCCTGAGTGGGATTAGAACCCATGATCCCGGCTCCCGAGCGAGCGAAGGCAATGCATGCCTTAGACCGCTCGGCTACCGTGACCGGCTTAATTATCATTATTTTTCCTTGGCACTACAGCCCCAGTGGGCCTAGGCCTACCTCCATGAACTTCTCCGTTCACTTCGGTTTTTCTCGATCTTACACATTCGGTAGGACTCCTTGGGTGGGTGATCAGCTCGTCGCAAGGCCTCTACCTGTACACAAACATCCATGCCCTGAGTGGGATTAGAACCCATGATCCCGGCTCCCGAGCGAGCGAAGGCAATGCATGCCTTAGACCGCTCGGCTACCGTGACCGGCTTAATTATCATTTTTTTTCCTTGGCACTACAGCCCCAGTGGGCCTAGGCCTACCTCCATGAACTCCGTTCACTTCGGTTTTTCTCGATCTTACAGATTCGGTAGGACTCCTTGGACGGGTGATCAGCTCGTCGCAAGGCCTCTACTTGTAGATAAACACAGAAAAAACGCACACAAACATCCATGCCCTGAGTGGGATTCGAACCCACGATCCCGGCTTCCGAGCGAGCTAAAACAGTGCATGCCTTAGACCGCTCGGCTACCGTGACCGGCTTAATTATCATTACCGCTCTATAATTTCTCATTATTGTCACCAAAAACTGAGAATATGAAAGTTTATAAATGGCCTACAAATACGGAACCATCCGTTTTTTTACATATGTGGGTGCAAGGAGCGCGGACAAACTGCACAGTCGCGCGATCACGAAACGCGTGACCAGCTGTGGCCTTATCATGCAACTTGGACGTAGGCAATGAAGATAAGCTGCAGGTGACACATGCACTGAATCACTTCCTCAACACCACTACCTTCCGCAGTGAAGTCTGGTAATTTTCTGTTCGCGGCCACCATGTAACGCAAACGTGTATCCTAACGCTGGCGTGTTTCGGTAAAACACTGCTTGAAACATGGTACAAAGTGTACACATGAGCAAGGCTGATAGGCTATTAACAATATTTTAACTACTGAATTAGGAATGGGTCTGAAAGGAGGCTGCACGAGCCTCCCTTTAGATAGTTTTTTTTATTGCTAGTGGCGTGGGACTAAGTCCCTTGCATTGCGGCCACTTCTGGCCTATTGTACCAGCCCCAGATGATAGGTGGGGGTGATTGTGGAGCAATTGTTGGAATGAAGATTGGCAGGGGAAACCGAAGTACTCGGAGAAAACCTGCCCCATCGCCACTTTGTCCACCACAAATCCCACTTGACCAGGCCCTGGATCGAACCCGGGCCGCCGCGGTGGGAAGCCAGCGACTAACCGCTTGAGCTATGGCACTTTAGGTAGTTACCTAGATATTTTGTGGAAAAAAACCGGGTTTGTCCCTATTTGAGCTATTTACCTGGAGGGACTGAAGAATACAACGAATAACGTCAATCGAGACATCGGATCACCGAGTTGAGATTTGGACCCTGGACGTCTCGAATACGAAGCAAGAAGTGTAATCATAAGTTCGGTTATTTGAAACCACTTTCCCAGGATCTGCCTCGAGAAGCGGGGTGAAAGCACAGAAATCCCAGTGAAGATAACAAGTATTTCGGTCAAGATTCCGACTGCCTTCCTCCCGAATATTCTAGAACAGGAATCGGCAACCTATGGCATGCGCACCACGATACAAGCAGACCCTATCCATGTGAAAGCAAAGCACTGTATACATTTACGCGCACTACTGCAGACCACGATAGAAATAATTACATTTTAAACATGTTAACAGGTTGAAAAATAGCAGATTGTCAAATTTCTACATACTAAGAGACCTACTGCAAACTGAAAGTATGCTAGCAGAAGTAATGGAATGTAAATTAAATCGCAAACAACATGTAAATGAGATGAAATATAGCAGACAACCAAAATCAGCATACTTAAATGACTCAACAATATAAAGGGATGAGAAGACCCAGAAGTAGATGGAAATACAGTTTATAAAACTTCTGTACTTCGAAACGGGCTTGTGGCATCAAATCGTCTAGCTTAAAGAGGAAAATATTTGCAAGAACAATGCTGGAATGCTGGAATGCACTGAGTTAGACATCTGTCGAGATCCGGTGCCGACAGGCTGTTCTTACCGGCTGAGCAACCAGAGGTGCTGGATTCGAATCTAGGCAAAGTTTTTGTGGTTTGGCTTAGCTTCTCCAGACTAACGTCGGGATAGTTAGTAAACACAGGCTACGGCAGTTTCAACTCTGGTGCTAGTGTTTGAAGTTCACCACATGTCATCGTCTCATATGGTTGGATATTTAACGGCACTTTCGGTAACAAGTTGCAATGCGTCGGATGGTAGAAAAGAGGAGGAATTGTGAATTGGAAAAGATTTCGAAGCAAGCAATTGTGCCCGAATCGAGGTAAGTGAAGATATCCCTGTAACAGGCCGTGTGATGTTGAGGTTCCAACATTTTCTAGACAATCGGCTCATAGATGGCGGCAAGGTTGTCAGCCCTACGCGCCGGCCGCCCTTTACCCCCAAGAATATTCCCGGTACTCATTTCTCTTAGAGGCTGAGTTGACTCCAGGGCCATAGTGCTACTGGAAGGATTAGGTCAATTGAAGAAAATCCAATGACCTCATCGGGACTTGAACCGGCTACCTTCCGGTTTGTAGCGTAGTGCCTCAACCAACTACGCTACCGCGTGTCCTCCCCGAATCGAGGTATTATCCCGAAACCTGCCTGTAGGGGTTGAGGAAAACTATGAAAACCCGTCAAGATAAGCCGATGCGCCGACGAAATTTTGGCCATGCACTTCCCAAAAATAAATCTATACCGTTACATCTATCCTCTCGTATCATTCGACGCCATTATTTCGAAAAGAGCTGCAACTTACAGCTGCACTCACTCATGGAGCTAAGCCCATCTTGAGAAGCTGCCAACTGTGCAGTTCCTCAAGAACTTCCCAGCATTCTATGAAACGCAAAGGTTCATTGCCGCGTTCACAAGATCAATCCAACCCATGCCATCCTATCCTATCACTCTAAGATTCATTTTAACATTGTCCATCCACCTACGCCTTGGTCTTCCCAGTGGTCTCTTTCCACCTGGCTTTCCAAACAATATCGTATATGCATTCCTCTCCTCCCCCATTCGTGCTATATCCCATGCCCATCTCATCCTCCTTCACGTGATCATTCTAATTATACTTGGAGAAGAGTACAAGTAATGAAGCTCCTCATTATGCAGTTTTCTCCAATCTCCTATCACTTCATCTCTCTTGAGTCCGAATATTCTCCTCAGCACCCTGAAGTAACGGTGGGGGGTGGGGGTCTGCTGGCTGTAGCGGAGTAGTCGCAAGAGTCTGCGCTTCGAGTCTCAAAGGGCAATCCGGTTTTCGTGATTTCAATACCGCCATTAACCTTACGGTTTCTTCCAAATCCTTCCAACACCTCTTACAATTAGAATTTACACAGAAAAAAAGGTCATAAAATCATACCATTAAATAACAGTGAACTCGTAAGCTGTAAGTTAAGACTGCCAAATAACCATATTCACAGCAAAATGTAAAGTTGTCCCTTCGCATAATTAAGCACTACGTCACTGCGACGTATGGGGAGTGGAGTTATAGGTCCACCACTTCCTAAGAACTCAACCCCCGGCCCATTTACGGCCGGAGAGAGAGCATGCAGTACCATGTGTAACCTCTACAAATAACTGTTAGTCCTTTACGTGTCCGTGAACTCAAGATCCGCTACTAACTTTACTGCGACTCCGAAGAAAGAGATCACATAAAACTGGTTCCTTCGGAAATTTGACCGCCATCTGTGAGGAGAGAAAATTAAAGCTGTTCCTGTTTTCATTTCAGCACCACGTCATGAATATGGGCGTGTGGAGCTGCACGAATTAGCTAGAGAAGATGTTAAGTGAGCGCACAGCCGAGGTGGACACAATGGTGAAGAGGAAATCTCTCGCCCCTGCCAGGAATCGATCCACGATCATACAGCCTGACGTCAGTCGCGATATTTACTGAGGTACTGTTAACTATAATCTGATCTTACCTGAGTGGAAGGCTGGGTTCAGAGCAGCTAGATACTCCAAGCCGGGGGCGGTGGGGGGTAATGCTGAGGTAAGGACGGCACTGGGGTTCATAGTCCTAAGCGCCGGATCAGTTGCAAGACCCGCCTTAAGACGAAGTCTGGGGGGCTGTGGATGCAGTGATTCCCCTTCCTGTCCTGGTGGTGGGGACGTTTTGACATTAGTGACATCTGATCCTTCGAAGCCACCGTCTCCGCCTCGAATTGCAGCTGCAGGACCTTCACCTTCCGCTTCGCTTGCCCACTCCTCCTCGTCTTCGCCTGAAAGAAAAAACGGTTCAGCTTCCGAGACCGGTCCATATGGTGTTTGAACGTAACCGATAGATGGCAGAATGTTTCGCATTATATTAAAACCCTATGTGTCTTTAGAATAATTCTTTCTACAAATAAAAAAACGCTACGTAACACTAGAACTGGTATATTTTGACGGACTTGTTCGTCGTTGTAATTCATTGCATTGTTTATAGGTCATAGTACAGTCAATTAAGACACAAATTCTTTAAATAAGATTAAATTTAACACGGCACAACATGTTTAGCCACTTACGTCATCCTCAGGGCTGCAGACTTAGTAATACAAAAGAGCCCAACTGTGACTGCCATGATTATAAATAATTTTTTTAATTTTTAAAATTCTCATAATACATTACTGCATATAAAATAAGATCTTACACTACAACCAACGCATATTAGAATTCCTGCATGCAATTCAAAGATTCTTGAATAAAAACTGTACGGTTGTTGACCACTGAACAGACGAAAGAAACAGATGTTCAAACCAGAAGATTCGTTCACCTTTAAACTAAAACAAATGATGAAGAATGCATTCTGGGATGTCACGCCGTGTAGATCTTGTGTGAACCGACGTTTCGGAAGAACGTATCGCCTCAATCTTCAGGGCAGAAAAATCCGCGCGCGAGGAACCAGCGCGAGCAGATAAAATGTTTGTCAAATAATATAATATTTAATTTCCATAGTGAATCTGTTACAAAACTGACACTCCTGTATGCTGTTTAAGAGTTAACCCATTACTTGGGGAAAGGCTTTACCTGAACAAGTGAAATACTGAAGCTGTGCGGTGCATGAGTGTATGACGTGTGTATGACGTTGCCCTTAGCATGGCTGCAGCTTGACTGTCCGACAGTGGGTACGTAAGTAACCTTATCTGAGAGGGCTCAGTGTTTAATATCGCGGGCCCATCTGTACATGTCTTTGAACTGTTCGAATAGGCAACCTTCACAGTCGTTCATTATCTTACTGGGTGATCTACACAAGTGCATGTGTAAATTAGTCCCTTTGTTGCGTGCCAGTCTGTCCCATGGATCCATAACAGTGTTTGTGGCTAAGTATATGGATAGCGAATTTTGGGACCCGTTTTTTTTTGTAAGATTTGAGGCTTTCACGGCGGTGACTATGAAGAAAGCAGTCTTCTGGGATTAGGCACCGTGTATATGTGGTGTTAACCGACGTTTCGGAGGAACGTATCGCCCCCATCTTCAGGGTAGAAGAAAAAGTATAAGAAATCTGCAAGCGACAACACCGTGAGAAACGGTAAAGCAGACGTCTGCTTTACCGTTTCTCACGGTGTTGTCGCTTGCAGATTTCTTATACTTTTTCTTCTACCCTGAAGATGGGGGCGATACGTTCCTCCGAAACGTCGGTTAACACCACATATACACGGTGCCTAATCCCAGAAGACTGCTTTCTTCGTTTTTTTTTTTGTCTCATATTTTGTATCTGTTCATTATATCGTACTCACATCTGTCCCACAGGTTCACCTACACATACTTCATGACACTGTGAACATGTTAACTTGCAAATTCCCCATAAGGCAATGTATTCATGGCAGAGACAACTATGATGACAGTCTTATGCGATGTGACGCCGTACATATCTGTTCAGCTGGTACCAGTCTACCAAACCACACGGTCTTACTTCCCGAAAAAAATCGACATTTGGCTATCAGAGAAGCGTTGTAAGAAAAGAAAATACGTTATAGCACGTCAGTACAAGCTCTCATTCATTCGACCAAACGGAAAAGCTCAACTCAAGCTCACTGTGAAAGGAATGATATGTTTTTGTTTCATTACACGCCAAGTCAATGCACTTTTATATGCAGTGTTACGCAGTAATGGTGTACAGTTCATCGTAATGACATTGCAAAATGTTACGTTATGAATTAGCAGATCTTTATCTGGTCTGTTTCTAATAAATTTTAAATCACTATTTGGTAAATAGGACCGCTTCAGTGGTCTAGTGGTCAGAGTCCCTTGCTACAGACCCAGAGGACCCGTGTTCGATTCCCGGCGCTACCAGATTTTCTGAGAAGTAGCTGGTCTGAAACATGGTCCACTCTGCCTCGTGAGGAGCTACTTAAATGGGAAAGTAGCCGTTCCGGTCTAGAAAACTGAAATTAACGACTGCTGGGATCCGTTGCGCTGACCACGTGACACACTCTCTATCCGCAAAAGTTGCCACTAACTTCGCCGACAAGTGGCGGTCGCTCGGTATGGTTCGCCTGCGGACTAAAGGCCACGGAGTTTTTATCTGGTAAATAATTAGTCTGTGGATCGAATTAATGTTTCTGGAACGTACCCACTCACTTTCTGGAGCAGGGATGGCTCAGTCAGTGTACGTGGTAGTGATTAAATTACGGGGCGGACGACGGTTCTATTCTCTGCAGTGGTAAGGATTTGTCTCATCGCCACCGCGTGCAGACTGTCTCTGAAGCGAAGCGTACTCAAGTCTCCTTTCCAGGAAAAAGCGATAGCTCTTTTCCCGGAGATAAAGCGGCCAGGGCTTTGAACTGCCCATTCATTTCCATCTAGGGCTGAGGTTAACCCTGCCAAGAGCGAAGGGCAACTTTACCCTTACCCGATACTTGCGTAATTAGCCTACACTTCACCAACGAACAAAGCCTCTACTGAGCGTCAAAGAAAACATTTAACGTGCGATAATACACCATGTTTTTGTTCCTTGTCAACAGAACGCCAAAGACGAAGGTGAATCAGATCCATTACTTAATGGACAACGCACGTTAGGCCAGTGCTGTGTTTATGGACAAGGTTTCGCCGTTGACTAACCGTCTTGATAACATACAGAAGAAGGCATTTTGGCTTAAAAGGCAAAGTCTCCAGGCTACTCACCACCAAAGAAATATAATTAGATGTTCAAACATTTTACAAAGAGCGCCATCTTCTGGTAGAAGTCGGCCGACGTTTCAGAGGAACGTGTCGGTTGCAGCCTCCTTGCTACTTTCTTGCTCGGCTTACTCTACGACCGTGAAGACTGAAGCTATACGTTCCTCCAAAACGTCTGTGTACTACCGAATCACACAGAGTTGCGACCCAGACGATCGTACTCCTCGTGGTGACCGCTGCAAGAACTTCAAATCCGACAAGGCAGACCCGAAGTAGGTCCCGTTTCTTGCATTCTCCACTTTTTAATGCAAAAAGTAAGCTATCCCTGTAAGAGGTGTATGAGAGGTCGAGGTTCCCACCTCTTCTAGCCGGTAGGTTATCAGCCTTATACACCGGCCGCCTTTGACCTCCCAGGAAGAGTCCTGGTACTCATTTATGTTAAAGGTTGAGTCGGGCCCAGGGCCACAGTGCGGCTGGAAGGATTAGGTCAACTGACCTTCCGGCTTGTAGCATAGTGCCTCAACCAACTACGCTACCGCGTGCCCTTCCACTTTCTAATGTTAAATATTCAATTTCTGTATTGAAATGTTTACTGAAGTGTTGCCACGTCCTTGTCCAGGTTCCGCTTGGTGGAGTAGAAACAGAACATTTACGAAACAATTAATTAAGGAGAGAAAGATCTGCTGATGCGGATAACAAATTGAAATCTGTGTACCGAAGTTGCGAGCCTTAGCATTAATATTAATTCTGACTGTGATTTCTTATTCATTCCGCGAAACAGAGCCCCGCGCGAGGCATTGAGATGTCTGCTCGTTACTTATTTACGTCCATTACCATCGAAAGGAAAGAGGCTACACATGGTTCATGGGCTACTATTCAAGGCAGTGGCGTGTCGACCTCAGTACAGTCAGCTGAAAATAAAACAGCGAAAACGACAAACATGCGCAATACGTTGTCTTGCTACTGTTACAATAACTACTGAAGAAATGGTATGTCAGAATTTGGGCTACTTTCAACTGTTTCAGTAGAAGGCCCTCAGGCGAGCTCCTCTAAACACGGCAAATGAACCTTCCTTCGTTTAACTAATTAAGGACTACACAATGAAGGCGTATGGGGGAGTGGATGTATAGATCCACATTTTTTGACTTCGGCACTAGCTTGAGGTGAGTCGTCACCTTCACGGTCCTGTCGCTTTACCCCCGGGGGCTGAGAGAACGTTAATTTCTCGACAAGAACGATACAACACCGCACTCGAGTGGTTATCCCTCCCTGCTTCGTATCCAGAAAGTCCTATGTTGAAATCTCAGCCCGGAGACCAAATACCATAACATATTTTCTTCCGTGTGTGTGTGTGGTTTTCCTGTGATTCTCCAGGAAAATGCCAGAAAATCTAAAATCAGGCCTTGACAGTTCCAATTATCCACGACCGCTTCCGTCGCATGCTTTACAATTCACCATCGCCTTATAAACTGATGCCGTATAACACAAACTACTGAAGGCGTCGTTGAGTAAACCATAAATAAATAAAGCCCCTAACAGTGTACGAGCAGTCAGGGCGGGGCAGTGTACGAGAGTGCATGCTTGAGATTGACATCGTGATGGTATCTGGCGCCAAGTTTTATTAATTACCTCTCTCCTCCTGCAGAGATGTTGTACTGGACCGGACTTAGATAAATCACGTGACATACATAACCTAACGTAGAGGAAACCTTTAAATCAAGATCACAGATATTCGTGACGAACATATGATGCGACACCGTACAACTGTCATCTCGAAATACAACATTAAAATCGGAAAGAATTACAAACCGGCTGAACAGTATATCACCACTCGCTCCACCACCTGCGGTTAACAGGCTTAGGCCAATAGCTTCGTTATTCGTCGCAATAGCCATGGACAACCCCCTCTGTGGTTTAATGGTCAGAGTTCCTGGAATGAAATTCAGATGTTCCGGGTTCGATTACCGGCGCTACCAGATTTTCTGAGAAGTAGTGGGTCTGGAACGGGGTCCACTCAGCCTCCTGTGAATAATTTAGGAGCTACATGAATGGAAAATTAGCGGCTCCGGTCTAGAAAACCGAAATTAACGGCTGTGGGGATTCGTTGCGCTGACCACGCGAC